TTAAGAATACATGAAAAATAATATTAGATGAATTAAATTAGAAGTTGGATAAAATTAAGATTTGAAGAAATTTAGAATTTTGATAAGTTTAGAATGTAGATAATTTTTTTATTTATAGATGAATTTGGAATTTGAATGAACTAAGGATATAGATGAAATTTTACTTATGGATGAATTTGAAATTTTAATGAACTAGGAATGTGGATAAAATTTTATACATGGATAATTTTTTATTCAACAATGAAATTTTATTTTTGGATGAATTTTAATTAAAAATAAAAAATAATCAAAAATATAATAAATTTTCTTTTTGATTTGAAAGCTATTACATTCATTAATATTGCTTGTATGGATATTTAAGAAAGGTTTTGGTGATTAATAGAATTAATTTGGAGAGATTAAAGAATGATTCAATAAAAAATTAAACAATAGCTATATATAATTAAATAAATAATATAATTAAATTTATGTGAATTAAAATAATCTACCAGCTAGTAGAGATCTAATTTTGTTTTACAATCAACAAGTGATCTTGAATTCAAATCTTGACAAAAATATACTTAAACAAGCTTAGTAATAATTTAGAACAATTTCAATTGTAAATCTTTATTAGCTACAATAAATCTAAAATAACTAGGTTAAAAGGAGATTTAATAAAATTAAATATTACTAAGATATTATTTCTATTAATTTCTATATCTAATAAAATAATTTCATAGATAACATCTCTAAAAGACAATAAATAACTATCTATGATTTCTACATACAAATTCTTAATTTTCTTTGCAAAAGATATTTATTATTTTTTTAACAAATTCTTTGTCTATAAAATAATTTTAGACTCTTGAATTTAATAAGATAAATATTTTTTAATTTTTTGATCCTAAAAAAATATCTATTAGAAAAGAAGGTGAAGGATCTAATGAAAAAACAGAACTTTTATTGATTGTTGTACAAGATTCTAGCTTCATTGTTCTTATTGTAGTTGGACAAACTTATTTTCTAACATATTATCTTCTTATGCAACCAAGCTCTTCATTTTGTGATTGCATTGCTTCTTTAGACAATGTTGAGCAATGTGCTTGAATTCTTCATAGTATAAATATAATCTTATTTTATAATGTTAAGTCTTTTTTTGCTTATTAAGAAGTTTAAAATATATTTAATCAATTTACATAACTTTATATCTTGATGAATAAGTTTCTAAAAACTTTAAAGTAATCAATGTGACTTGACATGTTCTTCTTCAATTAAATCTTTATCCTTTGAATCTTCCAAAAAGTTAATCGTCACATATAATAGCTTCAATAATAAATTGTTACAACAAATTTACTTTTGACATTGTCAATAATAAATATTTGATATTTTATTTTAAACTATATCAAAATTAATTTATAAGAGCTTTGTTACTTCAATCCACGTTGCAAGCAAGGTTTTTTAGAATATAGTAGCATATATGGTAGCTAAATATTATTCTTGTGGTAAAGATTAGAATTTCATCTCTCCCACCTTTTTTCAATTATTATCTCTAAATATGGTTGTAAAAACTTCCAAGAATAAATTTAGATTATATAAGAATTGTAAATCTTTTTTATGAAAGATACAAACAAAGAGAGAGAACTTCTATATAGAAATTTCTTTATAAATCAAACTTGAGTAAATTCATTAAAGTATTACAAAACATAGAATACTAAATATAGATTTTTTTGTTGTAAAAATCCTTGAAAGTTTGATCTTATTCCATTAAATTTATTCAACATACTAATCATTTTCTCCCTTATACTTGTACTAATAAGACTACTTAGATGGAATTATGAAGTTGATCCACTTATTTATTTAAATTACAAAATTTTTTGGTCCAAACATTAAACTTTATTATTTTTTTTTATAGAAATAGTACATCCATAGTTGATATTGATAATACTTAAAATTACACCTTAAGAGTATTAATGAGCTTGTGAAGATTTGTAATGATTGCAAATTATTCTTACTATTGTCAAGTGTAGCATCTATAAAAATAAAAAAATCTAATTCTATATCAAATAACTTTAAAAAAATCTAGAAGTCATATTAGAAGAGAGTAATTTAAAATTTTTAATATCAAATGAGAATTTATAGAAGAAGAATATTTTACTTTCTTTAAAAAAATCAATATTAAAAATAAAGAATAATAGTTTAAAAGTGAATAATCTACAATCTTTAGAATAAAATAAAAGAAGTAAAATAATCTACTTACTTCTAAAATAAAACTAGTGAATTAGCACTTTAATAAAAAAATAGCAAAGAAATAAATCATAAAGAATCAAAAGGTTAATACATTCTTGTGTCATTAGAAAAGAATAGATAATCACTCAAAGATGGTATAAGATTGGGATTAGAATGGTTATTACCAAAGACAACAAGACTAGAGAGAATTGAAAGAAGACTAAAAACAAGAAATATATTGATAAGAGTGAAGAAGGCTTCACTATTGTTTTTATTTATATTATCTAATTAGAAGTTATGTGATGATCAATTATAAGACCTTTGTTATATTTTCAACTTGCAAGTCATATGTCTAACTTGCAAGATAAATTTCTTATGTGTGTAATATTTGGCTAATTTGTTTGTCAATTTTTTAGCCTATCAATCACCTATAAACACATATAAAGTCAAATCTGCATTTGTAAAGTCTTTAAGAAGCTTTTCCATCAGATATTATCAAGTTTATTTATTTCTATTTATATTTATTAATCTATTTTAATTTACACAAATATATATATATATATATATATATATCTGTGAAAAATTATCTTAGAGCAAAATATTTGACTAATTGTTTATTAAAGCTACATATAATAAAATAAGATAAAATTAAAGAAAGACAAGAATAATAATAAAACTAATATAAGTATTTATTACAAAGAACAACTTCAATTCCATATGGGCTATAACATATAATTATTTTATTATAATATTAAGATTATTTGCTATTTTAATAAGTTGTATTATTGTAGATTTTAACTATTTTTTTATTTATATATAGATCAATCTAATCATATATTATTTATACTACCAAATCTATAAAATTTATCTTGTATTGCATGTGTCTCTTTTTTAACTATTTAAGTAGTGAATCAATTAAAAAGAAGACAAAAACTACTTCTTTATATAGAAGTAGATAACAATTAAGAGCTTGTATTAGAGGAGGTCTTAAACTAAAGGTAGAGCCAAAATTATTTGGAATATCTTATACATTAACAAAAATATGATATTAATAAATGTACATAGGAGCTATTTAAGAATGATACAAATTTAATAAAGAAGGTTGATGCTTTATATTGACAACATCTATCAAAACTATGACAAAGACTTCTAAAAATAACATGTTTATTTTTAAATAGATTATAAAATATAATCCATTTGGTATTATAAGTTTAAAAAAAGACTCTCAATATTTGGTAATGTCATTGAAGGTAGAAGCTACTTATAATGGTATTTTATATGTTTTATTAAAAAAAAAAATAATGGCTTTAATAATAATCAAATATCAAGGTTGTTTTCTTGTCTTCGTATGAAACACTATTGATAGATGAGAGGAACTATCAACTACCTTCAAAAAGAACAAAGATTAGAATACGTGGCAAATACAAATAGATGTACTTTTGACTTTCTTAATATATAATTACTATTCATGATAGAGCTTCTGCTTAGAAGGAGAGATAATGTCACAAACATACATATCAGTAGTATTAACTATTAATATAAAATAAATTATATAGAAGTAAATAAAAATAAGATTATATAATAATATCTTATTGACAAGCTTCTAAAAAGCTTCATAAACTCAAATTTGACTTTACAAATATTGGTAAGTAATTAATAACTTGAAAACTTAGCAAACAAATTAACCATGTGTTACATATATTGAAAGCTTGACTTGTAAGTTAGATATGTTTCTACAAGTTAAACACAAGACAAATAACTTATAAAATGTCACTACATAGCTTGTTAGTTAAATGGTATATATAGAGAGAAGAATAAGACCTTTTTCACTCTTGTCAATACCTTTAAGTTTTTTTCTTAGATATACTTCAAGAATTACTAATATTTTTATTTTTAGCAATAGCTATTATAATTTTAATATCATAATTATTTTACTATATATATATATATATATATATATATATTAGTGATACAAAATTGTACTAATTCTTTGGTTGTTTTGCAATTCATATCTTTGATACAATATTATCATATTGTTTTTAAAATCTCCTTTCCCTCCTCGAGATCTATTAAAAGATAAATAGTGGAATTGGATTTTTGTTGTTGCTATTAGAAAGTAACATTTTTGGATTTCTTGTACCTTGAGTACAATTTTTATAGGATACCATCTCTACAAAGTATCATGCCATATAAAGAAGAAAAAAATCCATAGAACCATGTTCAATGCTTATTATTATATGTGGCAAATATCTTTTGTCACAAACTATTTCCAAGAAAAGCTTTAACCATCATAAAATCCTGTAACAAGAAGATTTTGATGCTTAAAGAGCAAAAAATAATCATAATGCATCGGCCAAATACAGCACACATAATTTTAGAAGCATGTCAATAAGATGTTATCATATAATCTTAACATATAAAGCTTAAATTGCATTGGCCAAGTATTTCACTCAATTTTAAATCACCTTAAATTTGATTTACTGGATTTTTTCATCTGAAATATTAACTCATATCTGTCTAAATAGTTGGAAAGAATAATGAACAATATTGAAGATAGGTTCATGGTGCTTGTAGCATTCTATACGTCGTGAATTAGACATTTCGAGCTCACATCTGAATTCGTTGGCAGCTGATGAAATGGCTATACTTCTTCAGTACTAAAATCCAATTCCATAGAGCACCATTTCTGATTGGTACCAGTCATATTTGTGAATGACGAAAGAAATCACTGAGGAGAGTGAGTCTTCCAATCTGTAGTCGGAGTAAATGCTTCGAGGGTGGGACGCACGTTTATATTGAGGACAAAAAAAAGAGAGGTACCTTATGTTAAGAGAAAATGATACAGTTACCAAGCCCGAGTATCGGCGGAATCCCATTCGAATGGTAACCATATGTGTCGGAATTGGTTAGAGGAGTTTTTTTACTTGGCATCGGTAATGAATGTCTTGGGTAGAAGAACCCAGACGTTATGATACAGGTCATCACCGATGACCAACTAGTAGTGTGTAAGCTGCTACAACGCAACATTGCATGTCCGACTGACAATGCAAATATGCTCCTGAAAGAGTTGTCAGGTCTGTTTTTTACATTACAGTATCTACGACTCAGAAACTCTCGGTGTCCGAGAAGTCCGAAATAGCGTCGTCACTGTCGTCCTTCGTATCTTCACTGCTGCTATCACTGATGACATACTGCACTTTCCGACGACCAACTCGGGCTGGTCTGGACGCTGCCTCAGCCTCTACGGCCTGGATGACTTGTTTGGATGTCAAAGCTTTGGTCTTTCTGTTAAGTGGTGAAACTGCAATTTTGCGCACCTTCACAGCTGGCTTCAGCTTCTCTGGAGATATCACTGACTCAGGTGGGCTCGGTGGAGGCGATAATGAAGTTTTCGCTCCGGCTTTCTGGAGTCGTCTGGGAGCAGGCTTGTTCACTTTGACTTCTTCAACCTGAGGCTCCTTGACATCCTCTGTATGATCATGGACAGTCAGTCAAATAACTTGGCGAAATTCATGCACTCATATACAACGAATTGTTTCCTAAAAACTAGGCCAAAATGAAAAGGCGAAGAAAGACCCAGTTTAACGCTGATTCTTCAATCCGAGGGTGACAGTAAGGCATGGAAGTTAGATACGAACAAATATATGCTATTGCACCCACCTATGACAACGCTGGGTTGGGAAACTTTCGAGTTATACGAGGCCAAGCGGTCACGTAAGCTTGCAGTGAAGTCCTCATCGTCGCTGTCATCCAGCTCCTGCAATCACACGCGTCCAGGGAATGGTTAACAAGTTTCAATTTCAGACCGGTACTTGCTGAAAAGATTGCAAAACACATTCACAAGAGACACTACAGAGTTCACTTACAACTACTTTGGCAGGCTTTTTGGCGGCTGCCTTTGCCCGAGGTTTAGGTGCAGCTTCTGTAGAGACAATAATGAACATCAAGTTAGAACATAATGACCTAGCCTTGCCATACAATCACTAGGCAGAAAGAGTAATATACAAGGAGAAGAAAATATAGTAGGATCGTACTGTTGGTCGCAGGCTTGGTCGTCGCAGGCTTGGTATCCTCATGGGCAACTGGAGAAGATGGAGCTGGCACAGGAAAATTCTCGTCCACAGGTTCGGTCTTCTTGGCTTTAGGAGCGGTCTGCTTCCTGGGAGCAGGTTTTTTGAAAGCTTGGTTGCCCTCCTTGGCAGAGTGCTTAGCTTCATACACTGCATCGACCTCCTCTTGTGCTTCCTGGGCCTGTGCAAGAGCATCTAATTTTCAGTTCTCTTATTAAGGTGAAGCATTATCATCAACGCTTTGTTGTAACGATACTTTGTGAGCAACTAAAAAATTAAATAGTGCAGCTCAAAATACAAGCATTACTTACATCCAATTTCACGAGAAATTCATCTAAATCTTTTATCCACAAAGCTTCTGGAGTTGCTTTCTTGAGTTCTTCCACTTCCCCTTCCATCTTGTCACGCTGACCACGAAGTTGTTGAACTTTCTCAAATGTCAACGTTCCAATAGGCATAGAGAGAAGATACTCGTAGTCTGCAGCTCTGATACCTTTCACCTTTTCATCCTGGATCCGATTCACAAACGTGATATGAGCCTGAAGAAACATGCAAATCCTTAACACTCCTTCAAATTAGATGTCTACGATGAGCTCCGGATGCAAGGGTTAGGGACGCACTTGTTCATCGTCTTCTGGGAGGGGATCTGCCCCAACGACAGGAGGATCAGAGGATTTGGATTTCTTAGGAAATGGAGTGAAGCCTTTCTTCTGTAGATCAGCGAGTAAATCTGCACGCTTGCGATTGTTCACAATTATTTCCCCCTTCACCACGCCAAGGATAAACCGCACTTTGTTGTCGACCTTGTGCAGCTCATACTCCAGGTTTTGCAATTGGACTGCCTGCAATCACACGGAACAATATCAAATACAGTTAGGCAACAGAATATTACCGTCTACTGGAGGAAGATCACTGCTCGAAAAGGAGAATGAACTCCAGTACCTTCCTCTTTACATACATGTCCAGGCGGATATGAAAGAATTCCTCGAGAACTGCAGGATTTAAAGCAACAATACAGGTCAATCCCATGAAAATGACAAGGAAGGATTAAAGTGAAATAAGACTATATCGAAAACTAGGGGAGTCACTCCATGAATTCAGGTTGACAAGTTCGGTACTTGGGAAGAATCGGAGCACAAGCGTGAAAAAGGTGAAAGGAAACATGAAATGAAGACTCCGTGGATAGAGGTAGTACTTTGCTCTGGAGTATCATATTTCTTGATGATTCCCTTGTTATCGAACAAATGCATGTTGCTGGTGCTTATTGTGGTAGTGAGCTTGAATTTCTTCACGAGGCCCTCAGCCAGAGCTATAGCCATATTCTCTTCTGAAAGCGAAAGCTCAAAATGTACCTTCGTATCAGTGTTGTGTTCACGAAAATCCTGCATATCACCAACAGTACACCAGCATCATTGTCAAATACGGGCCTACGTAAATTCAGAAGGGTATAGAACTCCTATTTTACGAGAGTTCAATATAGACACATGTAACATCGGAGATGAGTTATCAGCTGGAAGCGAACAGAACCTTAATGAAAGGCTCCTTGTTCTTGTCAGAAGGTGTCATCATGACATCAAGGAACTCCTTGTAATCTTGTGTCCACTTCCGTACAGGAAGCTCGGAAATTTTGATGGTTGTTTCATCGATTTGATCAATTGCACCCGTGATGGTATACGTGAAACCACTATCCTTCGTTGCTGAGCACTCAATGGACCCCTGATACAGGCAGTCCCTTAGTAGACAGTCAGACAGATACATTACCAGCAAATGAAAACAGAACACTAGCTTCATCATAAAATACCCACTCTATTCGCCCTGCATGCAATTATATGGGACAGATCTTCGCGAGTTGACTTACCTTGAAGCCTTTGTACCACGGGTGCATTGGTTCCATTTCCTGGCCTGCAAGGAGGCGGCGAAGGTTGGCCACAATTTCTCTTGGGTTGTAGTTCGGCACAAAGGAGCTCCAGCCAGTTCCGATACCTTCGCTACCATTGACAAGCACCAGAGGAATGATGGGACAATACCAAGTGGGCTCTATGGATTGCCCGTCCTCTTTCAAGTAGTCAAGAAGGACATCGTCTGCTTGAGGAAATAGAGCGCGGGTAATCGGTGCTAAACATGTGAAAATGTAACGTGGGCTAGCGTGGTTTTTTCCTCCCTGCAATCAATGATTACACCACGTGATACAGTCAGGGGATCGATGAGAAGAAACATGAACATCTAACAAACTTGAAAATTCATTCGAAGTTCTTTGGGGCAATCCGTATCAGTAAGCATCCACAACACATTCCAAAACCATACCTGCTCACGCGTTCCAAATTGACCCTCTGGGGAAAGGAGATTGATGTTGTTGCTTCCAACGAAGTTTTGGGCCATCCCAATAATGGTGCTGGCTAAACTCGCCTCTCCGTGATGGTAAGCTGAATGTTCTGACACGTAACCGGAAAATTGCGCTACCTGTTGCACTGCGTCATATTAATTATGGCATCCACATATATCACATAATGACACAAGGAAGAGTTTACGGAGTACACAAGATGTATGTGGAAATGATTCTATGACACAGTAGCACAGATTAGGACCTTGGCTTGCGTGACAAAGTTCCTCTTGAAACAGCAGAACAGGATTTTCCGCTGGCCAGGCTTCAATCCATCCACCATGGACGGAATAGATCTTGCAAGGTCAGCCATGGAGAAGAGAATAAGTTCCTTGTTCACGAAATCACGGTAATTGATCTTCTCCGCGGTCATGTCAAGGAAAGTGCCAGGCTGTGCAGAGGCAAAGAAATTTGTCAAGGACTAGATGAATTATATGTACGCAGTACAAAAAATAGAAAATGAGGCAATACTGACTCAGGGAAAAGACAGGTCAAGTGGTACCTCATAGTGCCGCAACCATGTCTTACGAGCTTCAATCTTTTTCTTACTAAACGCCATCTCAATAGCGTCACCATCCATTTCACTTTCCCACTTGAAATCCTTTTTATGCTTTACAAGTTCCCGGAAGTATTCTTTTCCTTCTTTCGAAGTTGACGTACCCAGACCCTGCATTCCTCATAATTTCCCAGCCAACTGAGAATCAGAAGTGAACGAACACAAGCTGTTTCAAGAATTTTAATATAGATATAAGTGCTTTCTACCCAAAAGAGACATATATTGTGCATTAGAAACTCTAAGAAAAATACCAGCGGTCAAACCTTATAGTATTTGATAGTCCATCCTTTAGTTTCACCATTCAGAGATTCTTTCCATGCTTCATACTCAGGCATCGTATAAAATGAGAGCGTCTTTTGCTTATTGGTTGCCTGCACATTTCCATAAGTGAAAAGGGGTTAAGCATACGGAGGCTGATATCACGAAGTATTGAGGACATTCTCATACCGAAATCCGCTCAGCATACCTTAACAATTGGGGTGATGAACTCCACAAGAAACGAAGGAATCTTGAGCAGTGACGGCCAGAAAGAGTGAATAAAGTTAATCAACAATCCTTTGATGTGGGACCCATCGTGATCCTGCGAACATACAAGCTGAAGGTCATGCATTGTACCGACAACTGGCAGCCAGCGCTACAGTATAAAGAGATAATCTAAGCAGGAACATGCAAGAGAATCCAAAAGATTAAGAGAGATACTTGGTCCACAGTTACATGAAACACAATCATGTTTAATGTCGGCAGAAATGGCACACCTGATCAGTCATGATCATTAGATGACCATATCTCAACGATTTAGTACTGTCATAATCTTTGCCATGCTGAAGCCCTAGGATGCGCTTGATGTTCGTAATTTCAGCATTCTCCATAATTTGCTTATGGCTGGCTTCCCTCACGTTGAGAAGCTTTCCTCGTAATGGGAATACTCCGTATTTATCACGACCCACGACGCTAATACCACTCATCTGGTAGAAAAATACGTTCTAAGTAAGAGAAAGTGTGCCAAAGCCCTGCCACTGACAATTCCATTCTACAAATGAAGGTAAAGTAATGGTGATAAGACTATAAGCTTTGGTATTTTCCGGGAATGATGGTATCTTGGGTGGAATGGACAGGAGCTTACAGCGAGAGCTTTCGCGGAGTCACCTTCTGTGAGAATGAGCGTACACTTCTCCGAAGATTTACCACCGGCGTCATTCGCATCATCAAGTTTAGGGATGCCAGTAATGCGTTGTCGTTTAGCTCCATCATTCTTCTTAAGCTCTTTGCTCTGCTTGAAGTCAGCCCAAGTTAACACATTCTCTACAACTCCGCATTTCGCAACTGCAGCAGGCATGTGAGAAGGTCAGAACTACAAATCACTAGGTGTTTCCAACGCAGATAACAACCAAGTAAGAATGACGAGAACCGTGATGGTCAGGACCAAGATATCGATTGAACTCAAGTTTCGAATTCAAAAGTGAAGATTCAGGAGACTAATACAAACCTTTCTTCAAGAATTCAGGTGAGAGTTCACACTTGGACCCAAAGCTACTAGCACGAGTGGTAAGCGTCTCTTTCGTTTGTGAGTCAAATGTGGGATTGTCAATAAGTGCATTGACAAAAACCCACATGTGATTTTTAATTTGGAAGGGCTTCACGCCAGCTGTCTTGTTTTTCTTGTTCACCAGAGCCAGGACGTGAGTAACAATCTGGTCCGTCACATAAGCGACATGGGTTCCTCCTCTGATCGTGGCAATACTATTACAGAAGCTCACCTGTAGGTTAGAAGTAAGAATTCTCAAGTTAGGTAAGGGTGCATCTATCTGTTCATAAGTGAGAAAGAAGCAATCAAGGAAAGAGGGAAATCTGCAATGATATTCAACAACGAAAAATACCCACCTGATTGAATTGTCCATCGCTCAGACTAACACACACCTCCCACCGGTCGCTTACTCTTTCATAAATCCTGAGTGAGAAGATGTAAGGTCGTGCATATTAGAGTAGGAAGCAAGTGAAGTCAAGCCCCAAGGTTGTTAATAGCTCAAGCTCAGAAAGAGAGAAGAAGTAACAATATGAATGCGATTTCCGGGAACAATCAATTCGACTAGGAATTACATGACCCAGTCCACCCACCACAAAGTAGATACAATGGCTATCTATGCCCAGGGTTGCCAGTGAAATAATGAGACTTGACACAGACGACCGATGAGAACATACCTCGGCAGTGGCTCTTCTCGACCGGCATTTGCAACAGAGAGATATAGACCAACATAGTCTTGAAACGACTTGATGGGAAGACGCTTGCCATTGAGTTCAACTTTACAACCCTTTCCCAAGCAACCAGCTACATCCATTACACGCTTGCTCATGAGAGCAACGACATCACTCTCGAGATGCGTCATGTTAAATTTGGAAAGATCTGGTTTGAATGAAACTTTCGTCCAGTTCTCGTTAGCCTTGCATGTGGTGATCTTGGGTTCAGATTTGAGACTCATGTTATTGGTAAATACCTACAGATATCAGGAGGAGTTAGGTGTACGAATACAAACTTGCATTATTCTGTGCTCTTATCTCAATTATAGGACTGAAGTAATCCTAGCTCGTAACTGTACCTGTTTGTACCGCCTGAGACGTTTTCCGTCCGCAGTTTCAATCGTGAATTCTGTAGAAAAGATATTAGCAAGCTTGGCTCCGTATCCATTACGACCACCAGTAGTTTTCTTCTCAGAGTCATTGTAATTACTGCTGGTCAGAAGATGTCCAAAAATCATCTCGGGAACGTATACGCCTTCTTCTTTGTGAATCTCAACAGGCACACCATCACCATTGTTGAACACGCTGATGAAATTATTTTCTACGTCGATCTCAACCTGAAGCAGAAGCAAAAAGAGACTTCAGAAGGGGCGGTTCGATTATTCATTTTGGTTCAGTAAAGTGAGCAATGTATGTGCGAAAATAAATGAATAAATAAATAAATAAATAAATAAGTCACTCGCTCACACACACACACACACAAATATATGTGTATATATATATATAGATATATATATACATACATATACTGACACCAATAATCAGAGAGAGAGGTAAGTGACTCTAATTATTGGCGAGCCGATTGGGCACTACCCTCCAAATTGCTAGAGGCGTTCGCCAGAACTACAATACCTTCAAAAACACAAACTACAGGTCTCTACAATTACTGAAGAACACATGGCTCCGTTGAATGCGATTCAAATCACTATTTCAGAGGTGACAGCGGGGGACTGTAACCCATCAATCATGTAGGTAAAGGCACAGATAGTGAGTCGACAGTCTTAACGTCTATCACAGACGTCAATTTAATACAGAAGAGCTACTTCGATTGAAAAAGAATGAGAACAAATTGACCGACCTTAACGGTGTCCATGGAAGGATCACGCTGCTTGTTATCAGCAGCATTCACCAGGATTTCATCGAATATCTTGTACAACCCAGGGACAAATGTCACGCTCCGGTTAACCATCTTCTCGTCCTCATATACCCAAAGCGATTGGGTATGCTTCTCAATGCTTCCAACATAAGTATCGGGCCTTAACAGTATGTGCTCAAGCTGGGTTTTCTTTTGATACGTTTCCTCGATAGATTTGTCATTCTGAGGCTCACGCTTAGTAGTCTTGACCGCCTTAACGTCAACATCATTGACGTCAATGTTGAAACCAGAACTAGACTGAAGCGGTAATTTGGCGACCTTAGGAGCTTTAGCAACTTTCTCTCCTGCTGGCTTCGACTTGGAAACCTGCAGTCACGTACAAATGGCATTAGGGTTTGGGAGAAGCCAAGTGGCGATTTTCTTACACACGGGGATTGCAATTATGCATTCAGAGTTACGCTCTGGAAGCTGTAAAGGGCGGACACATGAGACTAACGCATGCCAGCGGTTCATGTGGGACCATTCAAACAGCATTATATAAAAACACGAAGGACAACGATACAAAACATTCATAAGCATGTGCATGAGGGAATTAAGACCGAGTGCCGGATCGGATAGAATTGCAGTCTAAAGACCCAAAGCGAGGAAAGTTCAGCCAGAAAGAGAAGGGAGCAGCACTTGAAAACAAGATACACACACGACAGGGGAGAGAGATGTCGAAGGCCGCACAGCCAGGGAACGAAACAAACCGGGACAGGCACACCCAAGGAAGCAACATAACCACGAACAAACTCTTCTTCCATCAGACACGCAAGCGCTAGTACAGAGCTCTCACCTTCTTCTTCACAACTCCCACATTCTCCACTTCGCCATAGTCGTAGTCATCCATTGGGAATACTTCCGAAGCGCTTCCACCGAAAAATAAAAAAAAAAACAACCTAAGCAACGAATCCGACCGCCTGCCTCCACAAGACTGCTACCCTTGCCACCTGATGCAGACCTACGCACGCACCTCACATCCGCGTCTTCTTCGAGCACCTCTCGCACCTGCTGGGCATTTCGACTCTACAACGTGTGCATCCGCTAGCGCTACCAAATCCGCACCGTGACTTACCTTCGACACGGCTTCGGAGCTCACTACAATGCGATTGGGGAAGCTCCGGCCATAATAGCTTGACCACGAAGGAGGACAAGGAACAGGAGAGAGAGAAGGCGCCACTACGTCGCTAGGGCGCCCAAAATTCGAATTCAAATTCCTGGCCCGTTACTGTCCCTGTCACGCTCCCCGCATTGGGAACCTCGGCAAGAGGATGGGGAGCGTTGGGAACCGTGTGCACCTGCGTTGGGAACAGAGGTGAGTGTGAACAGCCAGGATGAGACAAACTTTTGAATGGCTCAAAAGTTTCCGCACACTGTTAGGGTCGCGCGTTTTGTTGCGCTTGCTGGCTCAGCGCTTCACACCTTCGTAACTTTTGCTTTTTGAGTTTTGAAAGATAATACTTTTACTTTTTGAGTCGCTAAAAGGTAAGCGAGAAAATGAGTGGAAAAGATTAATTTTTTTTCGTTCAAATTCCAGTTTTTGCCGTCATTGGAGAAATTAGGAAACTTTCTTCTAGTTTCTGGCCTTTGAAAGCACAAACTGCAATTTTATGAGTGTGCTTTTGTTGTTTTTTCTTCTCCTCTTCAAATTATTGATTATAATGGCAATCATGTACACATGTATTTGTATATATGAAGTATGGATATAATAGTTTTTTCAATACAAAATTAATTTCGTTAATTTGAATTATACTTGTTCAAATTTTTATACAAATAGGTGACTTTAATTTTTTAAATTGTAAACACTCAATTTTCAATAAATATTGTTAGGTCCTACATGACCTCCTCATAGACAATTAGCTAATAATATGTTCTTTTTTATGCATTTTTTTTTCTTTTTTTCAATAAAGAAAGGGTGGTGGTTAAGAGGGAGATGATGAATTTTTTTCAAAAAAACAAAAGATTGATCTAAAAAAATATTTTATTTAAATATTTATTTATTTGCCTAATAAATTATTTTATGCTATTTTTTTTTTTTATCAATATTGAGATTAAAACTTGCTCTACCAAAGGCACCCTAAACATAGAAGCATACTTTTTAGTCAATTTAAGTTGTGTGGAGGTTGTGTGGAGTGTAGCAAAATTAATTGGGGATGTAGTATTAATGATTTCCTAAAAATATTATTGCAAGAAGTATTTATTGTTAACTTAATTTATATATTGATTATGGAGCTATTTTATTATAATGTTTTATATTTTGATATTATAACAGACTATGACCATGGAAGAAATACAATAATTGTTCTTCAATTGATGTTGATTCTAAATATTCTAAGCAAAAACACACTATGTGAAACCAATTTATTCCTATTATGACTTTGACATATATTAATAAATAGATATTGATTAATTACTTATTGATAACATGTACAAACATCTACAAATAACATGTTATGTATATTAGCATATTTAGTGTTTGCAAGCATTTTAATACACACTTTTTTAATATTGATACAAGTCGTTCTTAGTTTTTGAATGAAAAAAAATATGTGTTCCAAAAAAAATATCAATTCGTTTTTATCAGTTTTTCACATTTTATCATAAATATTTGATATCGAGTAAATCATTACTTTTTTTTTTCAAACTTCTAACAAAACAAACTATCAAAGTTTGTATTCTTATTCATTTGTTAACACTTAAGCTATAATTGCCTTGTTCAAGGCATTCAAAAGTAACAACGACTTTCTAATAAAATTTTACATCTGTAAAAAAATTATAATAATTTAAAAAAAAAATCAGGTTAAAGATTAAGTATATTTACATTCATGTAGCATCGTTTTTTATTCCACTAGCAATCTAAATGAATGTAAACAAAAAGAAACAAAACATTTACAATTTATATTTATTAGCTCAAAAACTCTATCATTTTTAACGATAGTTCTATTTTTGAAAATCTACAACAGGAAAAAACGAAATGTTAACCAATAACCATCAACAAATAAGTGATAGAAAAATTTATTTTAAAAACACAAAATTTTCTTTGATACGATCTGATCTTAATAAAGATTGTTCTTTGTTCTACACATGACATTCCTACGAGGACGTTCCAAGCCCGCTTTGTTTATAAATATAAGTGAATATATATACATATATATATATTTATATATATGAATGCTTTCACATGTGCAAGCAACCTTACGATTAAACAATTGTTTTTCGTTCCAATTCGAGCGTTCAGACATCCTCCGTTTGAACAGGTTCAAAACCCTTTCACCTCGCACATCCTCAATGCATTTCATCAGGAACAGGTGAAACCATGCTGAACAAGCCGGATGGTGCTTCAAACTCCACAGAACTATTTGCAACGACCACGGAGGAATACGAGCGTCGGGCGCCCTTTGAGCTGAGATGAAACCCACATCATTAGGGAGGCTTTTTAAAATTAAACAGACACCAATGAAATTGAGATAGAAAAATTGAAATAACCCAGATAGTTGTACAAACTGTGCGAGAGTTTGTTAACACTTGTTAACACTGAAAATATTAACTGGAAAGAGGAGGGTGATAAATTTTACAAACATCGTACCAACCTGTACATGTTGAGATCAAAATGCAGAAGCAACAAAACAAACGCTCGCATTCCCTCAATTACCTCTCGATGGAATGAAATTATGTTGGATGCTACGCAATGAAAACAAAGGCGACCAAATTCATGAAATCATGCCAGAATATAAAGGGATACAGTAATTTGCTCCAGTAATTACAAATCTTTTATGCTATGTCACTGACTACTGCAACCTTGAGTTAAAGGCTCCCAATGAGACAAAGACTGATTCCGGAAGAATACCATGAGCCAAAAGAGTCCACAGTATTGGATCCTCAGAAGGGAAAACACTACCCACCTACCAGTATACAAAAAGCCTGGCTCAATAGCCAGGATAAAATCTTTACTAAACTCCCACTCACGAAGTCATACATCCAGCATGAAAGATGCAAGCATATATGCAGTAGCGTTCCTTTCAAATCCAGCAATACAGTTAGTGCATAATTAGCGGTATTAAAAATCAGGCTGTCCAGATGTATGCTTTACTTAGCCCATGCCACAGAATCAATCTCATCCCGGGCTTGCTTGTAAAGCTCAAGCCTCTTCGACAGTTGAACTCTGCGTTCCATCAAAGCAGGATCCTCATCCAACATTTGTGAAAGTTGTTTGCCCTACATACATGAAAAGAACACTATCAAGATCAGAAAAGAAAACATTCCAAATGTTCCAAGCTAATCAATATGGAATTTATTTGAGCTCCAAATGTATGCATTTGAGAATTTACGAATTTGCAGAATTAAAAGTCCGACATGTTTTGAAGGTGAAGTCATCATTACATTGTGCTCTAGTATTAATATAGAGCATGCAATACAAGCTGATTCCTTGACTTACATGCTAACCACAATCTCAATGGTTTACATGTACCTCTCGCTTGCCGATTTGAGTGTAAAAATGATCCAGCAAAGAGCGTTTTGCCTCTCGGACTTGACAATGCACGGCTGCTTTGGGTAGAGAGTTTTTCAACAAATCACTGACCATAACAATATATGCTGACACGTTTGAACCTGCGAAATTTGTGTAGGCCATCGACTTAATACCAGTAACAGTGAAAAATGACCACAAAAAAAATTGAAAGATGAGTTCAAGCATGTAGCTTTCTTCTGCAGGTAATCCATAGAACTGATGGATGACAGACGGAACTGAAACATAGAAGCAGTACTTAATTCGTACCCTACATATTTCAACATGCACCCTCGGCTAAAGAACTCACCAATTCGTCGTAAATGACCATCGGTATAACGGTCCGAGGTTGACGCAGCTGGGTTACCACCTTTCTCTATTTCTTGAGGAAGTTTCCTAAAAAAATCGACCGTAAAATAACTAGCCTCCATATCGACTAATCTCAAAGCAGTCTTCTTGCTGTCATCTCTCATTCTCTCGAGGGCCTCAATAGCTGCTTGGGTAAGTTCTGCTTGAAGGCTTGGAAAACGTTTCAATTCCTGCCAAAGAAGGACCAAATAAACAAACAAGTCGCTTGTTCGATAAAGACATCTAATTAATTCCAAAGACGTCACAGGTGATCCTGGCCAAGAATAAAATGTTGTAAAGCATTCTACCAGTATTGTTTCTTAAATTAACACAACTACATTACTGAAGCAGTATCTTTGCAAACCAAAGTACGTGTGATAAGTTCAGAGAGTATACGACTCCAGCATATCCAATCGTGATAACAATGAACACTAGGGAAATTAGGTTGTATCTTACTGTGCACTCGCTGATTGACCTTCGGACAAGGTCCCTTAAAATAAAATGTGTCTGTTCATACGAAACAGAAAATTAGAATCGGACCATGCAGAAAACTCTTAACCAAATCTAGGACTGAGTACGAAAATCGTAATTGTTTAAAAATATGTACACTCAGTGATACGTTGGAAGCAAATGCGGGCACGCACCGCATCAACAACTGCTTCAGCAGGTCCTCGAAAGTAAACAAGAGAACTCTCAATTAAGCGCCGATACCCTTGCTCTGGTGCAATAAGATGTGGCTGGTATCCATCAGCTTCAGACACGATCCTTCGGACATTCTGCATAGACAGATGCTTATCGAAAGGAAGTTTCTTCATTGCGGCCGGTAATTGATTATCAAAGACTGCGTAGATTTTCTCTCCGCCGGGTCGTCTGAAACGAGAGGTTTGTCCATTTCCCACGCATTAGTGTATGAAACATATCACCACGTAAATAAATACAAAGAGAGAAATATCTAGAATTTGTTGCTAAGGTATCAGAAAGATTACTTAAGAATCATAGTACTTACGATCCATCCAAATGCTCCTTAAAAATACGATCAAAGGTCCTGCAAAGCTCCAGGATAGTATAGAGTTGGGCCTGAATAGCACAAACAATGATTTAAGACCCCGCCATGTGGAATATCATAAATGAGTCCATTCCTTCTCTTTTATGCCGTATCAGAAGCAATGAAGTCATTTTTTCAGCATCCCCAAACTTACTGCAATCACTGACGTGCTGAAAAAGAACTAGCACTTACCCCCGCATCGTTCGCCAAAGGCCTACCAATCTGGTTCAACTCAGTCTCGATGTCATCAATCATCTTGTTGATCATGGCAAGTATACCAGGAATCCGTGACTTGATTACAGCTTCTAAATGCTGCAGCGGAACAGATGATCAACGGTAAATGCATAGAACATGCTCAACACAGACTCAAAGTTTAAATACATGCCAATATTTTAAAAAACAAAAACGTGTGTGTGTGTGCATCAACTAACGACCGCCAAAAGTATCTGCATTCGACAGCATAAATGCACTCATATCCACCATCAAACTTCCGAACATGGTTGTTACCAAATGGGAAAGGAGTAGAGGCGTACCTTGGATAGTATCTTGCCCAAATATTCTGACCCCATCTTGCTCTGAAGATGGCCATAATCTGGACTTGTTTGAAAATACTCCCGTTCTCGACGCCTTGCAGCAATCATGTCCACACTCTTGTTGATGTCTTGCTGAGAACGGTTTACAACTCCAATCCACGGATGCATCAATTTGTAGGAGCGTCCTTCTAAAACCTGCAGGCCATGCAAAAGAGTAGGTTTGAGCCCAGTCTATACAAATATTTTTACAATACTATCACCTAAACAATGCTTCAATCTCGTTCCAAGAGTTACTGAAGTACTTAAGGTTATGAAACAATAATCACTCCGCGCAAAAGCTTCCCAGTGCACATCTACCCTCCATAATCATAGAATAACTCTTCAAACCTAAGACGTCTAACAGTTCCCAGAGAAAGTTTACTTACGTCAAGAGCATTGGTACCCTTGTCCATAAGGTCCAGCTTGGTGAGAACACCAAAAGTTCTTTCACCTGCGGGACAAAACAGTCTGCAGTCAAAAGATGAGGTGGCATGGTGAAGAATCTCAAAGAAAAAACATTGAATTCGACACCGTATAAGGAACAATGATGAGTATAATACAGAGAGACTCAATACTGCATGAGGTACCAAGAAACAATTTGACCTCCTAGTGTTACCTACAACTACAATGCAACGCCGTAGTCGTACAGTAGAAAATTACAAATAAAACAGGTGTTTAGTCCCAGAAAGCAATCATGCGAACATTGAGCAAGAAAACACCTTGTGGATCAACCTCTCTCGCAATTTTAATAGCATCTGAAGTAGCAATATCCTGGTTGGCTGGAGACACAGCGAGAATGATACAGTTTGGCTGCGCAAATAAAACAATGTGAAAATCTTATTAGCACTCGACTAATGATGAAGAGAAAATCTATAAATTAAATCGCTAAAATTTCATTTTATAAAACAAGGAAAAACAGGAACTGACACATTCTCCTACTCAATATTATCATTATAAAGCGCGTCAGAATAGCCATCACGATACCTTTTCAATGTAAGATCGAACCATATTCTCGATATCAGCAACTATGCTGTCGGATTGACCCTCTGGACATGCACGAAATATCAGCAAATAGTTACAGAAACGCTAAAGAAGGAAGGAAAAACCAAACAGTTAAATAAAATAATCAATATCTGCAGTCAGCATATTCCAGTTAACAAAAAGCAACAATTAACTTGAGACTAAAGAACCGGTCAACAAGAACAATGCTAAGCTACAACAATAAAAACAAAAGCCCGTGCTTCTAAGTGCTTCACATAATCACTAAAAGACATGAGATAAATAAGATGATCATGTTGTTAAAAAAACAAGAGTCCAAGCATAGCTTACCAACAGCGATTTTGGTCAGACCCGGTAGATCGATAAGAGTAAGATTCACCACTGCAAGGACATTGTGAAGCAAGCAGGTGTTCAATTAAATAAGACAAAATTGGAAAACACGAAAATTAATAATACACTGATTTGGAATTGCTAACATTTACACCTCTAATATTGACAAAAGATCGTGTCACAGAAATCTATGGCTGCTGGATGCAGAAGACGAAACAACAGAATGTTATTATATTTTAAATTTATTCAAAGAAGACATGCATACTCACCATTGGGGGAATGAACACTCAAATGAATCGGCACAGGAGAGATCTGCTTCGAGCGGCCAGTGATCCGATCAGTTTCGTCTGAAATCTCTTTCCTGACAGCAGCTGCAGAGCACAGAGAGCTGTCAACACTTGGACTCTCAATAAAATAATGAGAAAAACTTCAAGACATCTCAGGAACGCAGGCAATGATAAGTTCCGCAAAAATATCCTTCAGGTTAGTACAAGGAAACCAGATCTTTATCATTGCAGGAGAAGAGTTGATCATAAAAAGGAAACATAAAGAACCGTTCCTACCAAAATCAGTAAACCGCCTCTTGGGCAAGTGAAGAAACTCTGCATACTCATATTTATCTTCAGTCTTATGCAGCTGCAGTACAAGCGGACGCCGAGTCACAATACCTACAAAACAGTCATTTTAAAAATACATATATAAATATATATATACGAGCTTCTGAGTACAATACAGGGAGCAACATTTTCATCTCTTTGCAGATGGAATGAATGCAATTTATAGAGGCGCATTCTCGCAAGCGTAAAGCTCCAAAGCAACACATTTAAGTAAGCACAACTTAGACAAGTATTTACAATATTAATTCAATGCTGCGTAAAAAGAGCGCGGACGAAACAATGGTGACATTTCAAAAAGTTGGAAGGATGAGTCACCTGAACCACGGGGAAGGAAGTCACGGCCAACAATACTCTCAAGAACTGAAGACTTTCCAGAACTCTGCAGATTACACAAGCCGAATTAATATACGATGCATATAATTGAAAATCTTTAACCGGCTCACTTTACTAGTTTTTTGTGGTTAAGGATTAGCAAATGTCACCTGCTCATAGTCAAGGTTCACTCTGAGCTTCTCATGACGTGAATGTCACCCTTCAAGTCTAAAATGTCAAGCCAAAAATATCGAGAGAGAAAAACTCGGATAGTAACCTTCTTGTTTAAGAAAGCAACAAGGGACGTTCATGAAGAAACGTAAGGAGACATAATTTTTAGATAAAACTAGAAGAGATCATGCGTTCCCTATTACTTGTTGATTAATCCGGGATTAAATCAGAAATCAAAGAGCACACACTGGCATCACACTTAACAATAACTTAAAAATACAGCCAAGTGAGAAAGGTATGAGATTAACATAAACCTCGTACTAATCCTCCAGTCCGAACTACAAAATTCCTCGTCCACACACAATGCTCAGATCAGTTGCACGGGGACAAAGTAAAACCTACCCGAGTCGCTTGACCTAAGTTAGAGCCCCCTAACATAGAAAAGATTCCCACACTCCTCAGAAACAAAGTAAAAATGTTGTCTCTTTATATTTTCGAATGATTAAGATGGCAACAGCACTGCAACCTGTAGGCTGTTACGAGTTTCAGTGTGTTCGTAAGCTCATGTTCTTACGTCGTTGGTCAAGGTCCTTAAGGAAATTCACAAGAGAAGTCTACGCACAGAGCAATGTGGCAGATGATCTAGTAAGGTTGCCCGCTCTACAAAAACCTTGTCTGCTAACGACTCATCAAATATTGAGCATCAGAACATTAATATGAGCACGTGCAATTGGAATGTCGAAGGAAAGTAGAGCTGTGCACACCTGGCCTCCCACCACGGCGACTGATGGCAGGGATTCCCAAAGACTTGCGACTGCACCTTCGCCACCGTAGTCGGCGAAAGCAGTGCAAGCTCGTTGAATCCGGTTCACCAAGCCTATCAAATTGTTGTCCATCTTAAACAGATTACGCAAGCTTCAAAATAAAACTTCAACCAGGGAATGTGGTAGGCGTGAGCCTCCGTAAATCACGTTTGAGAATAATCTCAGATGTATCAGTGGAAACTTTTCGTTTGAAGCCAAATGCTCAGCCCCCTGTACATCCAAACCACAGCAAGAGCACATTGTTCAACACCACCTACAACATGCGGTTCAGAAAAACTGGTCAATCGAAGGAAGCAAGAAATGCAACGCTGATAAGCACAAGAAACAAGAACGACAACATGCAGATTGCGTCGGCAACAGAACCAAAGAGTAAACGGGAAAATAGCTGTCTAAATATAGACACTTGAGATAAAATTCATAAATTATCGCACAGGTTTTGAAGTTTCAGGATAACAACCGATGCATCATTGTTCTTTTCTATTTTGACTAGAAACAGAGACAATAACTGAATATCAGGCAGGAAGCAATTTAATGAAGTATTAAATACTGCATGGATTCCACTGAATGTCTTTTGTTCCGTAGAATAGAACGCCTGATGACTGTACTCAGAGAGGGTCATAAACCCTAAAATAGAAAGTCTAAAATAGGTCCTCAAGAAACAAAACCGAATAGCTAAGTTCTCTCAACACATGCAGCCCGAGAAGTACCCCAATGACCTGATCGTCTGAATAAAAATTCAACGCAACGACTTCCCACACACAAGCCAAATTGAGTCACTCAAAATTACTTACGGCAGGAGGGACACAGATTCTCCCACAATTGTATAGCACACAAACGCACACTACAGCGCTCTCCGACCCTGACGTGCACCGAGACACGGTACCTCTAAACAAACAGGACCAAAGACATACCAACCGATAAGTGCATGGTAGCTAACGTAACCAATTGCACCAGCTTTCAAACTGCACTCCTCACCCCCTCGAACTATCGCTTTCAAAGAAACGACCTCCACAGGAACAAAATCAAGTCGGCCTAAACGATCACGCCGCGATTCGCTTTAATATCCTCAGTAACTCAAACGTTCCTAATTGCCCTCGCAATTTCCACACCACGCCATCATCAACAACACGAAAAAAAACGCAACAATCGAGACACTACCCCCGTCATATCAAGGAGAATACTCCCACCGTACGTTTTCCAGGGCCAAATACAACGAGAAAAAACTCCCTCTAGTATTATCAACACCTGCGTCGAAAATTCGCGAGTGCCTGGGTCGAAAATAAAGCGAGCAAAGTGATCGCAAGAGCCACAAAACGGTGCGATGGCAACACAGCAAGCGGAGAGCCAGAATTCTGAGACCCTCTCGAAGCAGCTTGAAGAAGAAACAGTGAAAAAAAAGCACAATAAAGGTGGATGAACAACGAGGCAATTCGTCATCCAACGGACTGCCAAGACTGCTTGTCAAATACCATCATGGATGAACAACGTTCGTTTCACCCCAGCTTGGATAGCACGGTGCCAGAAGGAGGAACCCGGAACCATCTACGAAACTTGTCTCTGCTTCTGAGGTTGACAGATTCCCTGTAGAAATGGTTGTCCGCATGTGGATGGATGAAACAGTGCGGAATAGAAGGATGATAGGCGTACTCATCCATGGATGGATTTATAATGTCGCCTTTGAAAAATAATCCTCCTCACGGATCAATAAATCATATTATAATCACATATGTCAACGTTAAATATGTTCCCACAATAAATGTAATAGCAACTTAAACAAGTCACAATTTCGACTTGAAGCTTTTGTGAAGTGTGTTCATGTATGCAAATTTTGCATGATGGAAACCAAAAACATGGTAATAAATACATAACAAATAAAGAAATCCACACTTCAAGTAGTAATGAGCAAAGAAGCATACAGAAGGAATTAATAAATAAATGGGGGAGAGAGAGAGAGAGAGAGAGAGATATTACGGTAGGGTATATTGGAAAATCATTTTAAAAACTGGTACATTTTCTAATAAAACTACACATTTGTCACAATGAAATAAATTTAGTTGCGACTAGGGATAATCTTTTCTCCATTTGGTTCTCTTAAAATAACTGAATTATTCTAAGTACAAAAGTCAAAGAAAATAGTAGAATTTTATTTGGCTCCAAGTTTTATAAAAATACAATTAAATTATTATGAAAAAAATCATCAAATAACATTTCTGATATTTTGAAGTTGAATTAAAAATATTACTTTATATGTGTCTCGATAAGCAATGAAAAAATGATACTGTCTTTCTAATAAGATATATAGAATATCTGAATCCAAAAAAATGAAAAACTCATTAAAACATTTCTATATATATATATATATATATATATGTGTGTGTGTGTGTGTATGTGTGTGTGTGTATGAATGAAGAAGAAGAATGAAACCTCATATTCACATTTTGTACAGATCTCCCATTAGAAACTTACAACATGCAGAAAACAAAAAGACAAAGATGATCTTGTTTGGAATATGAATATAGAAGACACTTTAGCAAATGCTTGTTCTTGTAAAACTATCATCAATTCCAGAAGCTGATTAAAGCAGAAAGTAGAATTTAAACCAAATGTGCAAATACATATCATCGAGTAATTTTAAAAAAGTAGAAGTAAGATAAATACAAAAATCAAATAAAACAAAACATAAATTGCAAGACTAATTCAAATTAGCCAAATGAAAGACACAACAAAACCCCCGAAGATCAGAAATTAATTTTTGGTTCATCCACTCGAGTGCTTGTTGAAAATCACAAAACTCTCCTCAAAAAGGACAATAATATTCTGGTTTCTACATCTTCTTCACATAAGAACTTGAAGAACTTCATAAAAAGTAGAAAAACTAATGTTAATGCACAATTTAAGTGATGACTACAGGATGTGCATTGATTTTCTCACATAGAATCAAATTCTCTCAGAAACATCTTTTCTTGCACCAAATCTGTCTTTTGATGCAATATACTTACATTTATAGTCAAATGTCCAACAGACGATGCTACAAATAATTCTGAGAGTCAGCAAAGTAAAAACAAATTTTGATTTTAAAAAGAACTGAAAAGGTTGTCAATATTCTTGTTCACTAACTCTGTGATTTTTCTTGCCTTCACAGTCAACTCGAACAACCACCATTCTACAAAAACAACAAAAAAAATACTAAACGAATTAGGGTCCACAAAATCCCAATCTTAATGGCTAAAAACAATTATACTTTGCCAAACATACCAGTATGAAGACTTGCCTCATTTCATTTTTCATGCACACCATTTATTACTTCCACTTTGTCAACTTCTCAAAGCAACACAATTGGTGAAAACATGCAATATTGGCAACAACCATGTATTGGGTCCTCGAGCCCAACCTCAACAAACCATCCAATTGGGTCTGAGCAGAGCACTCCTTGCAAGAACTGAAACAATGGGGTCTGTCCAACTCAGGCAGTACATTCACCGATTTTAAGGATTTCATTCTTACTCCTTGACATACGCTCTCTGTTTGGAGTGAAAATGTGCATGTTGTGAAAGCTTACGCCCGCATGTACAGTTTTAATGGAGCGGGAGACGGTAGCTGTGCGGAAGGCAAGCAAGCATGCGTGAGCCAATTTGTGAGGCACCGAGCCAACGACGCCCCCAATGTGTAGTTGCGAGACTCCTCGGTCGATATTTGAAGTGAGCATCGTGTGTGTGTGTGTGTCGAAGTGAACGCCGTTGGAGTGGCAGCGATGAGCAATTACTCCGAATGGGTTCGTCGTTGGGAGGATGTTGATCCCATGGAGGCAAGTGTGTCAGGATGGATTTTGGTTTCGTATGAGGTGTGATTGATGTTCTGTGGAGAAGGGGAGCATGGCTGATGATGCGGTCTGGTGTTGCGGAGAGGAAGGGTAGAAGAAGAGCTGTTTGACCCACACGGATTGAAGGTAGTGGTGAGAGCGGTTATATTGGGTGGCAGTAGTGCTGCCACTCACGTCTCCTCGGAGACATCTGATAAAATTGGAACGATACAGAGATGATTAGCATGGCCCCTGCGTAAGGATGACATGCACAAAACGAGAAACGGTCCAGACTTTTAAATTTTTTTCAAATTTTTTCCCCCCTCCTACTTTCTTCAACAAACTATCAGAAAAAAAGACAATTCAATTGACAATTTCCTCCCTCCTACGCTCGATTCACACACTGAACTCATATGTCTGTACGCCCATTACAACTTGTGTGTTAACACTCCATGTGGTCAATACAAATACATGGTTGCCAATATTGCATGTATTGTTGACCTTATTGCATGTGTTTCATCAATTGTGTGGCTTTGAGAAGTTGGCAAAGTGGAGCTGATTTTGTAGACCTTAAGTTTTAGTATTTTTTTATGTTATTTTATTGTTTATTATAGAATGGTAGCTGTTATTGGAGTTGATTGTGAAGGCAAGAAAAATCACAGAATTTGTGAACATGAATATTGACAACCTGTCAGACATTTTTATAACAATGAATTTCAAATTTCTTCTTTATGATTTTAAATTGAGTTTTAATTTTTGAGGAAGTAATGTATGACAAGTGGAAAATCACATATAAGTTAGTTGTAAAGCTTTGATTTGGAGACTATATATGTATCCAAGCAAAAAAATATATTTTAACTTGAATTATGTATTATTACTATTGTTGATGAGCAGATTTTTTTAAGTTTTAGAAAATTAAATTCCATAGTGTACTTAAAATATGAAGTTTTGGAATGTAGACAAATAATTGTGGTGATAAGTACATTAAAGTTTGTCTGTAAAGATTTAAAACAAAGCTTCATACACTTATTTTTTGCCTTAAAGCAATGTGTTTAGGTTTGAATTTAACTATAATTTTAAGCCAACGTCAGTCTTTACATAAAGAACAAAATAGAGCAAAAGGAAAAAAAGAAGAAAAGAAAAAAGGAAAAAGAAAAAATCATAACAGGAAGTTGAAGATGCTTGCAATTAGTGAAGTAATTTGGGGGCTTTTTTAATTAATATTATTTTTTAAAATTTATTTAATTAAATAAAAGTGATCAAGTTGTCAATCAGTATTGGATGATTACAAATAAAGTTACTACACCTAGAGACTGGTGCTGAAATTGTAAGTCGTTGTATAATATACTGTATGGATAGAATTTGGTACGAGAAAGTTGATATCCGATACGGGTGTTTTCCCCGAACTATTTATAGAGCTGGTGTCGATTGTTCATGCCGGTGCGAACGCAGATATCAACCGGGTCTCTTGTCAGCCTCGGCTTCGAATTCAAGCCGTGGCAATAGGGGCGACTTCATCTCCCCGATCTTCTAACCCTAACCAGGACGCTGTGTGAGGTTTTCGTGAGAATTTTCATTGCAGCATTTTGCATTTTTCTACCTCACTCCGAGTTTGCCAGTATCGCTGCATTCGGTTGTACGCAGGGGTTCGCTGGTGTGTAGCTTTTGTTTGGGTGGTAGTGGAGGAATCAGCAAAGAGCCATGGAGGCCGTCGACACTGTGGTGAGGCCTGTGAAGGACTTCGCCAAGGACAGTATCCGGTTGGTGAAGAGGTGTCACAAGCCCGATCGTCGAGGTATGTCACTTGTGGCTGTTGTTTTGGGGTTGATTCAGCTATGGCTTCCGGGCGGGCTTCGCATTGACAGAGGCTTCCCTAAGCCTGTAGCGTTGTGGCTTTCCTACTTGTGTGGATAGAGAAGGAGCGTTTGTAGCACAGGGTTGGAGTGATTCTTCTAAGCCGGATTGTCTGTTTTTGGATTTTTGGGATTGCTTGTCCTTGTGAAATGTAACTTCTCGATCTGTAGTCTCTTGGATCATCGGGAGTGTTGAAAGGTGTTCGTTTGAATGTGCAGAGTTCTCTAAAGTTGCGATCAGGACAGCTCTAGGCTTTATCGTCATGGGCTTCATCGGGTTTTTCGTCAAGCTCATATTTATTCCTATTAACAACATCATTGTCGGTTCTGGATAGTAGAGATTTTGGTGCGTTCTGTGCCTCGTAGAAACTCATTCTACACTTGTATCTCAGACGCAGACATCATATGCTATAAATTATGTATTAGTGTGCCGAGTCACATCTGTGATTAACACTGAGTTTCAGTCTTTAGGTCCAGGATATAGTGTGTACTTTTCTCACACTAAGCAAAAGAATTGATTAATTGCACAGTTTGGAAGGATTGGGTAATTGGTGTTCGACTTTTCGGGCGTAAGAGGACAAGCCAGTCTCCTTCGTTCTATAAAATAGCAGATTTGCGAACAGTTCCACCAATGTTTTTGACCTTCACTCAGTTTTTAGAGAATTTTCGTGTCCGTGCTATCCACCTTTCAGATTGTCCTGAGCTAATCCTGTATCTGTAGTGTTAGTAAGCACATGAGGCGTTATCTCATGATGATGATGATGATGATGATGATGACTACGGTTGCGTTTTTTGGTGCTCTGCATCAATAATTTGATCAGTTAGGAGTTTATTTTATCGTTGTTGTGGGCGTCCAAATTGTAGGTAACTAGAGGATGTGTGTATTGACGAACAGGAGACATGGTGCTCGATGTCTCAGTAGCTATTTATGGGTTGCTGATTTAGTTTCCCACGTAGTAGCTGGAAGTATATGTGCGATCTGCACGAACATGTATTTATTCATTAAACTCGCCATTGTATTCACTGATTTGTGGAGTTTCTGGATTGCCTCAACCGAAGGTCGGTTTTTACGACGTAGAAAATGTTTACTTTCTGATCTTACTCTCATTGTTTGTGGAAATACCAAATTGCTACTCTCCTGGCATCAGGTCCTCTTTTTTTATTTATTTTTTCTAACTTATAGGTGTACGTCAGCTGCTTTTTGTGGTATGCGCTCCTTATCTGGAATGATGGTTTTCTCTGTAACGAAGTCTGGACTTTTGGACGTTTACCAAGTGCTTCCCTGCAGCTTGTGACTTTTTACCAAGTCTGGTGAACTGGATCCTTACGAGTTCTTGTGCTGGCCTGTTATTATCAGATCTTTTCGAGTCTTACCATACACAAATGCCTTCCACCTGAAGTGCATGCAATCGGATCACAACTACTCTTCTTGGTGTAGATTTCATCAAAATCTAGAAATTGAGTGTTCTCTAGATGCATATCAATTTTTAAATGCATTTTAAAGTCTATCGGCTCGTTTCCTCTACAACAGAGCTCGTCTCGAAGTCAGATTTGCCACATTTCTTAAGAAGCCAATGCTTGCTTTACATTCTACAGAGCACAGTCTTTTTCTATCTATTATTACTAAGAAAACAACGTAATCTAGGGTAACTACTTCAAATTCTGATTTCTTAAGAAGTAGAGCCATTTTGAATTGTAATTTGGATCCAGAAGCTTACAGACTCAAGAATTTGTGTGGGCACTTAACCATTGGTCTACAAGAAGGCATGTACTATTTGAACGAACAAATGCTTGCAAGTAGGAAGTCCTGCACCCTGGCTTATTTAACCTGTGATGCAGTTCTGCCTCGTGCGCGCGAAGGAGTGTTCACTCATATCCTTCTGTGTTGGAATTCGTATAGGGTGAGCACTCCAGTGAGTAATGCTGTATTCATAATGGTCGTAGAATCATGTAGTTGCATCTAGGTGTCTAATGGTAAGTACTCGAGTCAGATTAGCATTTTTGTGAGGAGTGGCTTGTTATGAACGTACGTCTTTGCAATGCGAGCTGTTGTCCTGCTCACTTGCAGTACTCTGACCTTACAAATGTAGACTTGGCGGAAGCCATCTCGGTGGTCGTCAACGTGAATGGTGCTTGCTTGCTTGCTTGCTGCACACTGGCCTTGCATTTTGTCGGAGGCCAACTTGTAAGGTGAATACTACAAATTAAGAAATCAATGAGTTGAAGTAACCGTCGCCATGTTTGAAGAGACGATGAGACGACGTTGATTACTTTTGATATCGCACTAAGTCTTATTGACGGTTATTTTTATTTTTATTTTATTTTTTTTAATATGTTGTAAATAGTAACAGCGTGAACGTCAGTGGCCACGCTGTGAAAATGTGAACTACTGTGACTAATGCGTAAAACGTGGGTGTCAAACATGTGCATGATACTTTTAACTCAACAATGAACACATAATCGATTATTAACAATCAGTGATAGTTCATACGTTGCTGAAACTAAATTCTCAGAACAACTGGCTGCGTACTGCACAAGAGTAGATGACCCAATCTGCACATAATGCATGCCCGCAACAGTAAAGTGACGATTTGGATAGAAGTATTGAATTTAGCACGTGTCTTCATGGGCACGACTCACCTACCACAAATTATAACCTCGGTTAACCCATCATGCAAAGAAAAGGCGACAACAACGAACTTTACTGAAAAGAGGGTTAACAAGTTTATAATATGCACTGAGGAGCGGAGACTCATGTTCGCTTCAAGACGCTTTCCTTAGCAAATGATTAATCTAACAGTCAACGGTGGGGATGGAAAAAATAGTGGCGCATGCTGTGAAACCGATACAGTGTGTTGGCACAAGGTGGGCATGGCCGGAGGGAGAAATTAGGTCGCAGTGGGAAGCAAGCAGGCTTTGGACACGGGGCCTCAAAGGGCGCCGAAAGGTGCTCCGGAACAATGCACGCGGACGGCATCTTCCGAAGGATCCGGAAAGCATCTCCGGCCCTGTCTCGGGTGGACAGGGTGATGTGTGTGTCTGCCCGGATGGGACGCTGTTCACGTCGCGGTGACCGGCAGCGCCTGTCCTCTGGTGATTGCCTCGTCGCGGTAGGGCACCTGCGTCACGCTTGTCATCGTTCCCTCCCCAGTCAGTGCACGATACCGATTGGTGATGCCTTAGAATAGCTCGCTCTATTCTTGCGATCTTCGGGTTAGGTCACTTGTCTACGCCCCAGCATTGGCCTCCGTTAGTGTCGTATAGTATGTTTTTATTTCCGGAGGTTCTTTTGCCGTCATTGTTGTTTGTGCTTGATGGCTATGCCTGTGCTGTGAAGTGTGAGTAGCAGAGAGAGGGAGATAGCGAGCGAGCGAAAGAGAGAGAGTGAAAGGATTAAGTTTTGAGTTCATGCTAGGTGATGGATTGATGTTCGATAGAGTGGTCATGGTCAGCGTGTGTGACGGTTGGGTCTGTTTGATGCTTCTATTATCCTTGCTTTTAGGGTATACTGAGGCTGTGCGTACTCGGTTGATTAATGGTCGGGGTGCTCTGTAAGGGTGGTAGACTCTAGTACGTTGGGGTTGGCTGCCGTTTTAGTAGGTCGAGTGTTGGGTTTAGGATGAGTTTCAATGGTTGAAGAGGAGGAGATAGTAGGTAGTGGCGAATTTTGCAAATGGAGCATTGCTTGTGATGTGGATGTGTTGATTAGATGAGGGCACGTTATGTCGCTAAGAATGGCGTGCCGATTCTGCAGCTTGGAGACAGAGCTGTTTTTAGTGTCTTCGTGATCGGGCTCTCTTCTATCAGATTCTTTTGGTAGAGTACTGTCGCATTGAATGTGGTAGAAAGGTTGAAAATGAAGTTTCCTTTTAGAAGGAGGAAGTCCTCGCCCAAAACGAAGTCTGAAGGCGGCGCTGGTCCTATGGGGGTATCGGGAGTGAAGGCGCGGATTCAGCTGCGATTGCTATCCCAGTTGAAGTGGGAGGCGAACGCGCCGAAGAAGGTGAAGGGGGATAAGTCTGAGAAAGGGGTGGTGCAACTTTCACAACCTGCGGTCGCGAAGGCTCTGTGGCCAGATTTGGATACTCTTCAAGGATGTACAGACTTTTTGAAGTCGAGTGGGTTGAACACCCGTGCGCTTGAGCATGCGGCCCGAATGGTCGACCACTTCAAGAGTTCTTATCAAATGGGAGATTCTTCCCTGCCTGACGAGTTCCGAATCCAGGCTTGGAAAGGGACGTTGCGCCGAATTGCGAAGACGCTGGTCGATCAGCTGCTAGCCAGCAACCCTAGGCTCGAATCGTCTTGTGCGGTAAACCAGGAAAACATGAGTCAGCTCAGGAGTGCGTGTGAAACATGGGTTCTAGGCTCAGTGCATGAAAAAATCATTTGCGCATGCAAGCAGATGTTTGGTCAGAGTGATAAGATTCTGGATGACAATCTTGTCCGACTTGATAAGGTGGATCCAATTGTGCTCGGAGTCCGGTCTGAGTTTAAGGAGTTCGTACTTGGGGAGGCACTCTTGCAGTTCAGGATGATCAGCCGGGGCCGCACGCCATTGGAGAAGGCTATCTGCCTGCGGAAGACCATCAACTGCATAATTGAGGGAATTCTTAGTGTAATTTCGTCATGCAGCGGAACGGCAGCTGAAAAAGATGGTCTGCTTCCCTGTACAGATGATTTGCTGTCGTTTATGTTGCTTCTGATGGCTCGGTCCCGGGTAAAGAATTTGCAAGCAAACGCATGCTACATGTATAATTTTCTATCTCTCCAACTAGAGGATGAACAAGGTGGGGAGCTGGCATACCATGTGACGAACTTTGTGGCTGCCTGCAACTATCTCATTTCTGGAGAAGTCGAGAAGCTCGTCGCAACCATACCAACACTTTCCAACCTAGAGACGACGCCCGCTTCTGTGAAGTCTTTAAGCCCGGTGACCTCTTCACCTCCTGTACTTACTCCTGTTTACAGCAGATCGTACAGCTTCGAACCAGATCATCTGAACATGAGCGGCGAAGAGATATTTACTGTAAATGTGTTAGGTGACCATTCATATGATCGGCGCAGAAGTGCAGGAGAGATCGAGTTGCGAAGTTTTTCTGACAAAAATTTGGGAGAAAATGGTTTGCGCCGGAGCTCCATTTCGAAAGGTGGCGACTTAAATGTTCGAGCCTTTCCGAGAGACTCTCCCGAATTTATTCTTGCCCCCACATATCAGTGATTTGCGAGAATCAAAGTAAAGCAGTGTATATACTCGAAATCCTGATTCTAGTTTATATATTAGATGGTTTGAGAGAATATATATATATATATATATATATACACACACACACACGCACATACATATAACAAATTTCTTCCAGAATCCTGGCAGCTATTGAAATGTAAACGTTCTGCCATTTTGCTCTTATTCTGTACCTTGCTTGATATCGAAGTTCTTGTGACAAACTCGAAGTTTCTTATGCAGAGTTGATGAAGCAGTGTATCCTGATTGGATCATCTGTAAAGTATTCTAGGTAGTAGTGAGAAGGTGGTTTTACTTTACTTGGACCTTTCTAGGTTTGTTGCAAGTGTCTCAGATCTAGATTGGAGATGATGTACAGAATGATAATATTTGTAAAATGTGGACCGAGTCAAAAAGTTGGTGAATGTTTAGCAATCCGTTTTCTTGGTTCCTCTGTTGTTACGATTGCTTGTCATCATGTCTATAATTTGTCATTTTTAAAAACTGAATTTATATGGGTTGTAGTCGATTCCCTTTCTGTGTTTCGTGGAAAAGTACGCGTCCTGTGTTGGCACAACTCCTCAAGCAAAATACCCTCGATGTGTATATTCGCTAACTGACGCCTTCGCTAATCTTCCTGATGTTCCTCTTTTGCAATATCTTGAATTATCATGTAAGGGGTGCTAATGATCAGGTTTGTCCCAGAAGTCGAGGCATTTGAGTAACACAAGTGCCGAGCGAAGGTGACCGTCCTTTATCAGTGACAACACATATACCTGCTAGAGGTATTTCAATGCAGCTCTACGGTAAATGACGAACACGGTAGCAACTGGACTCGCCAATCAGCTGCACCATGAACGAACTTGCTTAGATGAATGATGAGTACAAATGCCTGTAGAACGAATGATGTCTGTAAGGCTGGTCAGAGCTTGAAAGGTGTCGACAATTGCTCCAGAGGAGCAATAAGGTGGCCATGGCCATTGCCGAATCGAGTTCGGCGGCAATGAAATGTACAGTGCTCCCCGATATGAACCCAGTGAAGCTCTAGCATTGATACTTACGTATGTTTTGCTCACCATTGCAGGTTTCTTTTGTACTTCATCGAGATTCATTCATTTTTTCAATTTTAGGTTCCTCAGTTGAGAGATTCAGACCATCTTCGTCTTTCTCATTAAGACCTAGAGGTTTGGCGAGCGCCGGATGTGGACTTGGGTCATTTGTTCGTTTCTACTTCGTGTCGATAACTTCAGTCCAAAGCGCACCCTTTCAGTCTTACAGCTCTTGGTCTTTGAAGTTCATTCAAGACAGCGTGGCATAGGATCACAATTCTTGCAAGGGCACTGTTTTTCTGTTCTGCAGAAGGATAATTATGTTCCCTAAAAATTACTGGATCGTCTTGTCGATGATGCTCGTGTGAGATGTGCCGTGAAGTGGGCATGCAGGCCAATTCCACAGTATTTCATTGAAGTTCCAGTGAAAAAGGATCTTTAGGGTTTCCGTACGCGCTAGGGGAAGTTAGGGACATCCTTGTGGATCGCTGGTCTGTTTCTTCTTTCTTCAGGGACGCTGTAGATCGGAGCCTGTATTGCTGAAACTGTGAACAGGTTGCAATCTTGATATGTAGTTCTCCTTGTCCTTCTTTTGATCGTGAGGCTTGCAGCGTGCTGGTGAGGGTTCGCATTGATTCTGATCTCGACGAAATTAAGTTATATATTCTTTGATTGAATTTCGATGGTTTTGTAGGTCCGATTGAATTTCTATTTAATCTCAGCTATCAAGTCCTGGGGTCCACTAGAATTCAGATTGCAGTTTTTCCTGACATAATCTGAGATGCATCTCTGTGACGGTTATTGGAATTGGGTGCACTCTAGAGTTGTTTAATTGATGATCCGTGTCTGACAATTCCAGTGGTAGAGCGTCTTCTTGTCACATTTTTACTCACAACTAGAAATAGAGCATAGTGCGCCTGATGGACGATACTAGGCTGGGTGCAATTGCTGGCGCATCTGCTGAGCGAGGAGGCATCAGCTCGCTCGGTTCAGCTGAGCACGAGGACGCAAGGCCTGACTCTGGTTTTGAAGTGAAGAAGTTTGAGATGCCATCCGTGGTGCATCTGAATGTTGGGGGAATGATGTTTGCGACCACGGTGGACACTCTCACCCAAAGAGACACAGACTCGATGCTTGCGGTCATGTTCAGCGGCCGGCACCGGCTGCATATGGATTCCAAGGAAGGTGCAGTCTTTATCGATCGAGATGGAACCCACTTCAGGCACATCTTGAATTGGTTACGTGACGGAGTGATTCCAATGTTGGAAATCTCCGCATACCAGGAGCTTCATAGAGAGGCTGAGTACTACCAGCTTATGGGGTTGGTGGAGAACATTACACCTTTTCTGTGCAAGAAAGATGAAGATGACAACACGAAGCCGGAGATGAGCCGGCGAGATGTAATCAAGTGTCTCCAATTTGGGAAAATGAGGCTGCGAGGAGTGAATCTTTCAGGGCAGAATCTATCGAAACTAGATTTGAGCAATGTAGATCTCAGCTATACGCATTTGATCAATACTTTCTTCTCTAGGGCAAAGCTGCATAATTCCGACTTCACAGGGAGCGAGGCAAACGGAGCTAATTTTCACTATGCAGATCTATTCTCTTCTCAATTTTCAGGTACCAATTGTTGGTTTATAAAAAGGCATGTACTGTGTGTATGAACAAATGCCTGAGAGTAGGAAGTCAGTTCTTTACTCTGGCGTGTTTTGCCTGTGCTTATGTGGTCCTGTCTCTGGTGCGGGCGAAGGAATGTTTAGTCATATCGTTCAGTGTCTGGAATTCATATCAGTTAAGCACTTTAGTGAATAATGTCGGATTAGTAGTGGTCGAAGAATCAGTAGAATGTTTTTCATTCGCCAGCAGCGAGGATTCAATCGGTTGATGCCAGCCTCAAATAAGTTTTCAATATAATTGTGTACTTGCGCTTTAGGCTTTGTTTATAGCCTCTCTGTTTTCAATTATGAACTATTTTAACTGTGCACGTTCAAATTTAGAGCTGAAATGCTTACGGCAATGTGTCTCAGGTGCGGGGATGGTTGGAGCGGTTCTTGCTGGTGCAAACTTGCAGAGTGCAAATCTGGCTGATGCACGTCTTATGAATGCGAGTTTTTGCAATGCAAACTTACGTAGTGCTCACTTACAGAACGCCGATCTTACAAATGCAAACTTGTCGGAAGCCAACCTTGAAAACGCCAATTTGAAAGGAACGAAGCTCAGTGGCGCAAACCTTCGAGGTGCAAATCTGCAGCGTGCCTATCTCAGGGATGTGAATCTAAGGGACACCATATTGGAAGGTGCTTTATTAAATGGTGCCAACCTTCAAGGAGCTATCCGATGATCCGAACTTTAAAGAGTGTACATGTTGCTGCGTTCTATACAGGGTGCTTATAAGTCTATTGTCATTCACGGGTCACCAAATCTGAAGACAGGAATGTTCCACTGTGTACAAGCAACTGGTGCAAATTCTCTCATGTTTTTGGTGAATATGTACAAGTTCTTTACCAATGTTGGCCATTGTAACTGAAAATTAATCAAGTGTAATTTGTTTCTACCATACAGATAGTCTGTCTGCAATGTACATAGTAAACAGAATGTAGCCATGAAGGAGCAGTAATTTTATACGGGGAGATAGCATCGAGTAGGTTCTATTATGTGGAAAGAGTTTCAACACCGGCTGAAACTCGAGTATTACCGTTATGCCGGAGACAGAAGTGGGTATTATGTTCATGTCAGATTCATTGTGCTGGATTTACCAGCTGCCGTCGAATCGTATGCATTCTATTTCCTCCAGATTTGAATTCTTCATGTGATTTTTTCATTAGGCGTCGTTTCTTGCTGCTAACCAGGCAGATATGTTGGTCGGTAATATGAAGTAACTAGTATTCTGAGTATTTGTAAGAGGTGGCTATTCTTGGAATTTAGATTCGAGAAGATGTGTCATGGTTTATACCAAATCAATGCGGAATTCTCTGTTGACTTCCAATCCGCTACTTCACCAACATATTAATGAACTTCTCAACAGCACTTTCTGCACACTTGCAGGAGATGATTATTTTCTGAATGCTGCTCTCTCATTGGTTCTGTGTGTAATTAATTATTATCATTTTAAACAATTTGTGGTCCTATTCTCAGTGAAGTAATTCTGTTGTTTTACACTTTGAGAAAATGCAGTGAGGAAGGGGACATGGTTCTTGTGCATATTACTTTACGTCCATATCCTGAGATTTGTAGTATTCGTTCTTATTAGGAGAGATGAACTCACAATGTTCAGTTTCCATGCATTGCATATACTGCAACATTTCACATGTGGTAGTGATGCTTCCTAATCACGGTATGACTTTCATTCAGATAAAATGATGTGTCAACTTATCCTGCAATGTATCCACAACATGCCTTTCAAGGATATTTAGACTCATATTCCAACTCAGTACATGCTATAATTTAGGGATGTTTTATACAAAACTTTCAGGACATTTTCATGGGTTGTTTTGCAAAAGGTTAAATAGAACATTCTTCGGTTTCAATTTATAAATGGTTTTTGAAGAAAGGTGCACAATAATAACCTCTAACATGATTAAAATTTTCCATCTAACCATAAATACAATACTAATAATTATTTTTTTAAAAGTAAAATTATTAAATGATTAATTTGAAATGTTTCAACATAAGCATTAAAATTAAAGCTTAGGTTTGATAGTAATTTTGGATGTCTATATATATATATATATATATAATTGATGATATGTAAGATTAAATAAAACATTGCAAAATATTAAGAGGGATTGCAATACTTTAATTGACATTCTTCAATCTTATAAATGTTGAGATTGTTTATTTGACTTGATTTGTACCTTGTAATCTTGAATTCAATTAAACCTTGTGATAAAATAAATCAATGTAGATTAGTAATACAAATAATATTTTGATTTGTAAAAACAATTATGACTTACTATACATTTGCAATCATAATAATTTCAACAAAATTAAACGTTTTACAAAATAAATTCTAGATTCAATATGTAGATGAAGATTGCTAGGCGTATTATCATCTTTGGTGAGTTAAGAATGAGTTACTTCTTATTATCCACTATTGTTGAACTCAAGGGTAGTTAATAGAAGACATGTTATTATTTTTATAAATACTTTTATATTTATAATTTAAATTAAGAGCCATAGAGGTTTTTAGAGATGATGGTAGGTAAGTCTTGCAACCTTGTAGGTCTTCAATTTGAAACTTTCCAATGGCAATTGTAAATGATTTGTTTTTATTGTTTTCAATTTTAAAAGTTTAAAAATTTGAGAAAGTAAATTAGATTTTTTCTTAGAAGCTATTGTTATTTTTGGATACCCTTTTGGACTAAGCTCTATTTGGCCTTCTTTATCTTATCCTTGATTTAGACTCTTCATATACACATACATTAAAAAATTTAATATTTTATAAAATTATCAATTAATAAATTTAAAATTATTTTTTAAAAATTATTTATTTATGAATAAATATAATTTAGGAGTTGGTCCTTAATAGCCTAAAATCACTATTTATTTTCTATTATTTATTAAAATATATCAAATATTATATAAATAATCAAATAAAATAATTAATAAAGATTTATTTATGAAGAAATTATTAAAATCTTGTTATAAAAATAAATATCATTATATATTAAAAAATATTTTTAAATATATAATAAGAATGTTGTGAATATTAAAATTTTAAAATGGTATAAATATGTTTATATATTCAATCTTGAAATCCTAAAACATGCTATAAATGATAAATATTAACCATAATTAAAAAAATGCAATGATTTCATATTAAGAAGAACAATTGTCATAATTTTCATAAAATTTTATTATTCTAACTATCCACACCTTATATGAAGAATAATTGGACAATCTTCACTGATTAAATAACTTAGATTTTAAAATAACCACTTATCATGTCATTTTGTATATATATTTTTAATAGTTTAAGTTTAATACTTATGTCAATAATATGAATATATTTTTTTATAAAAAAATATTATATAAAAAGAAACAGAACAAAATTCAATGTCTGTATTTTTATTTCATTTTTTTATAAATTTTCTTATTACAAGGTTTGATATACTAATATCTATAAAAATAGTTCGTTTTCTAAGCCTTAGTATGTATGTGTACATATATATATATATATATATATATATATTCTATTCCATATTATCTTTAAAAATTAATTGTATGAGTTGAATATTAATTTGAAAAAAGTTTACAATAAATTTTATATAACTATTTAAATTTAAATAAAAAATATTATATATATATATATATATATATATATATATATATATGCATGTATAGTTCTTTCAAAAAAATATCTTATTTTTAGTAAAATTGGTCAAGAATGATTAATTATTAAATATCAAGATAATAATTCTTAATGGCCATGAACTTATAATAAATTTGATAAGTTTGTAATTTTTTTTCTTCTTTGGATATAATGCTGAGATATCTTTTAGTTGCATGCATTCGTATTTTTTTATTCGTAATTTATTCTTCATTTTTTCTTCTTTTTTTTTTTTTTTTTTTTTTTTTTGGTCTAATTAAATATTTTTCATCAATGTGATTTTCTTTTGTTTCACTTATTTATACTCATACGTTATACTTGCATGTAATTTCTAGCCTTTATAAGTTATAATAGTGCATTAAAAAAAATTAGAAATAAATTATGTCATATCAGTATATTATATTGAAGTCAAGAAATCAAGTTCCAAACAAGAGCTAATAGTATTTTCAATTTTATTGTGTTTATTTATAAATTAGTGTGTGTTCTACTTGCCTATGCAAGTTTAACCAATGTCTTGATAATTAAAGAAATATTCATTGTAGATGCCAACATAAAAGGTTTAAAAAATTGCATGAATTTTTATGGTATTCTTTTTAGAGTTTATAATGGTATCTCTCTTTAAATAGATACATGATATTTGTTTTAGATATGCTAGATAATAATTGATTGCATTACTTGAGATCAAGAAAAATCTAAAATCTATTATTTGTTAAGCTTTTAAGTTTTTAAAAGATGTCTCATTTATTCCTTAAATTTAGTTTAAAAATGATATTGAAACGTTCTTAAAAACATAATGTTATGACGTGAGATTTGTGCTTATAAGGACTCATACATTGATACAAATGATTTTGTTTGAATGTTGGTATATCATGTAAAATAATTAGACAGTATTTGAAATCCTCTTCATATATATATATATATATATATATATATAATTATTTTTTTTTAAAACTTTCTGTTTGAATTTGAAATGTGATTGGTTAGATAATGCTGAGATTGGGTCACTGCTCTGACATCTACTTCCCATCTAGTTCAATTGTATGCATTTTTTCAAGGTATCTCGTTTGATTATATTTTAAATTATTGTACAGTTTGTCAGCTGGTAAATAAGATCGCCATGTTTATTCTTTTTAACCTTGCTGAGATTTTGTCTACTACAAGTTTCGAGTCAAGGAAGGAATTGGGGGGCAATGTAGAATCTGATGCCTCTCACTTGCTGGGGATTCTCGGGAACAGTTGTAATATTGTTTATCACAGAATTTCAGTGACTTATTGAATAGTTTCATATTATAAAATTATACTTTTGAGCATGGGCATCTTTTGGAAAGTTCAAAATATTACCCACCCAGAGGTCAGTAGTTGGGGACACAACTCAAGATCCGAAAGGAAGGAGAATTCTGCAGCTCGACAGCTATCTTTTTTCTTGCTGGTCAGCTTACGATCACGGCAAGTTGTATTTTTGAAGATACTAAGAGATGGCATTTCAACTATTCAACTTTGAGAAATTCGGTACATGACTTTGTGAAGTTCCTGTCAAGCTCAAAATAATGGCTTCAGCAGAATTTAGATGTCTGAAAACCCACATGGACAAACGATCACCACCTATGTTGCAAAAGCTGTCGTAGCATCTAAATCTAAGGCATTCGGTTTTCATAAAGGTTTATACAGGTTTGTTTGTTGTGATGTTTTGTTTGGTCTCTGTACATGTAGGATGTGACGTGAGCAATAGTCTAAGCAGTGAAGATGATTTTGCCTTCTGGGTCATTTTGTCCAAGCTTGGAGTTACATCATCTCTTTGTACACTTCCTGTGGTGGCACTTCTCAATTTGACTGCAATCTCTGCATCACCAACTTCGATGGTGAGAACTATTTCTGAGGCTCTTCGCAAGGTTTGCGAATGGAGAGCTTTTTGCCCACTTCGTCCTGGCATGCTATTTCTTTAAAGAATCAAGGCAAGTGAATATGGCAGCTTCCATTGACTTGTCTTTGGCTGGATGAAGAAATCTAGACCGAAGTTCTGCTATTTCATGTTGCTATTTGTGCTAGAATCTATTTCTTCTATATACGTTACCGGTAAGAACGACTGCATAGTATAAGAAAAGCCGATTGAGCGTGCATTCTTTTAATCGAGAGGACATATTTGTAAGTGTTTCTCGAGGTTACAAATGCAGAATTTTCTGGAAAGACGGTATGCAGAATTTGACCCCGACAAGCACGTTGGACTCTTTCCCCTCGAGCTCAAATGGTTTTTGTATTTGACTTTTAAGTTTCCTTGTCCTTTCTTGACACGGTTAGTGATTGCATCTTAAATGTCTCGAGCATTACTGAAGCTAATGCGTTGTCTGATTGCACACTGTTGTCACGCAGATTTCGCATTGGTGCTGATGTGCTTGTTTGCTGCTTGTGATTGTGTGGAATTGTTGCTGATGTAGATAAGCATCTGTTCAATGAGAGTTATTGCTCAAGAGCTGCTATGCATCTGTTCAATGAGAAAGATTCCTTCACTGGAAGATGTTTAGCTAAGATCGAAAGGTAGTGCAAGCTATCATTGTTATTCACAACGTGTTAGCCTTCCTAGACGAACTCGCTGTGCACTAGAATTGGGGATATTTGAGCAGTTGAAGTAAAGCGAAGGTAGCTAAATTCAGATGATTGAAATGGATTGCGAGCTGGTTTATAATTATAATTTGAGTGCAGGAGAAATTTTGAAAAACATTCCAGCGGAATTTACCGCGTGACCGAATCCAATGTATGGTTGTCTCAGGAAGAAATTTGTTCAGTGCGGATGCACTTCGAAAGTAAATTAGCTTGTTTGTTTGTTCATCAAGATTCGAACATGGAGATTACAATTGTATCCAATCCTGAGAGTCTAACGCTTGTAATTTTGCAAGTACCTCAAGGTGGCCCGGCGAAATCGAGATTAGTTCACGCTTCAGCAAAGGGCGTCAGAGGTCTAATAATACTACACTAGAAGAGACATTTTCTACATCTGGCACTGATATTCTACAGCATGACACCTACTTTCTATCTGACTGGAAGGTAAAAAATTCAACGAGATCTTGAATAACAGCTTACGAATTCATCACGTACTGACCCCGCTGTCGAAAGCTACAGCTTCCCTTCTGTGGCTTCCACCTCAGGGTTGGGGATCTTGTCAGGATTTTCCGGATGGGGACTCTTTTTATCACCAAATCGCAACCTGTTATATCCAAGGAACGCCCAATCCCAGAGGTGCAAGGCGATGAAGGTGCAAATTCCTCCAATTAAACCGTAGGCAATGGAGTATGTCAGCGGCATGACGATAATGGTGATGAACGCAGGTATAGCCTCCCGCAAGTCTTCCCAGTTGATCTCCACGACGGACTTGAGCATCATCACCCCAACTAGCACAAGCGCCGGTCCTACTGCCCAGGGAGGAATAGATGCCAGAAGTGGTGTGAAAAACAACGACAGGAAGAAGTAAAAAGCAACTGTTATCGCCGTCAGGCCAGTTCGTCCACCCTCTCGGATGCCTGTGGAGGATTCAATGAAAGTTGTGATAGGGGAGGTTCCCAGCAGGGAGCCCGCACAAATAGCTGTTGCATCGCTCATAAATGCAAAGTATTGCCCTGGAAAGTTGCCTTGGGCATCCACGAATCCGGCAAACTTTGCCATCGTGAACAGAGTACCAGTTGTGTCAAGGATGTCTATATAGAGAAAGGTGATCAATGCTACCCAAAGCTCACTTGTATTGAACTCCGTGAAGCTCAGTGCGCCTGCCGTTAATTGTATTTTGTGGGCGTCAACTACGTTCTTGAAGTACGCGTAGGATGCATTACCAGCTTCGGTATTTGGGAAGTACGTAACCTGCAGTGATTGCGGGAAGCAGACATTAGGATTATAAGCAATCTGATGTTCAAAAGTTTCACTAGGTCATGTGAGGGGATATACCTTCGAGTGGCGGAACCACGACACTCCCGTTACAAATACAATGCCATAGATCATAGCGCCTCTGATGTTCCTTATCATGCAATATGCGATGATGAGAAATCCCACAACTGCGAGCCAGAAAGTGGGATCCTCCATGCGATGCTTTGTGCACATGATTGCACTAGATGTTGTTCCACCTATTGACAACAGTGAAGTCTTAGAGTTCATCTCGCTTGAAAGAATCATTCTCGACGCCATGGAGAGGTACCGTAAATAATTCGACAAATCTAAGTAAAACCATTCGCATGGCTTATACTGACAAATCTTTGACAGTCAAACTGAATGTACAAAAAAGGAGTAGAAGTTTTAAGGTTGAAGTGAAAGGAGCATATCTCACCAGGCATGAGCTGCATGGTGCCATTGACATCAATGACGGGAGCCAGCGAGACACGATATTCACGTGGGCAAGCTCCCAGTGTCAGAAGAGTGGAGCCGTCGTATGCAACCAAGCCAACTCCCTCACTCGCTTGCAAGCCAATAAACGCCAAAAATAGCCCAATTCCTGCAGAGGTAGAGAGTCGAACTGGCCGGGGCATGAGCTTCGCAATCTTCGTCCGGAACCCGAGAGCTGCGATGACGAGAAAGATTATCCCCTCAATCAGAACAGCCGCCAAGGCCGACTGGTACTTGATGTTGCCACCACCATGGAACCCCACCACGGTGTAGGCAAAATAAGCATTGGTACCCATACCGGGAGCTAGCCCAAGGGGAAGATTTGCAAACATGCCCATTATGAAGCAGGCTATGAGGGAGGCAGCGGCAGTGGCAACGATTAGGTCCTTGCGGACGGTTGCCAAGCAGGCTTGGTATCCCGGGTTTACTGGGGCGAACTTGCAAGCAGGAGTGGGGGCCATCATCTGTGAGCCCGCAGCTACGCATGATGTAACGTCGAAACCGAAAGCGGAATTACTACACATTGGAAGGCAGTCATCGACACTACAAGGGCCTCCGGAGTCCGTCAGAATGCTCGCATTGACGGCGAGGATATAAGCCATTGTCAGAAAAGTGGCAGTTCCAGCGCGGATCTCTTGGGTGAAGTAAGAATTACGCTCTTCCAGCTTGAAGTACTTGCCGACTTTGCTCTCCCCCACTTTTGCATTGAGGGTCTCGAGTGATCTTGACCACGACCGGCTGGCGCGCCGAAAAACCCCTGCCATGGTTGTAAGTCGATTTCAGGGGCACTGTCAAATGTGTGATGGTTGATAAGTGGCTGAGACCTCAACTCTTGCTCATCTAGTGAGCTTTCTTCCTGCAGAATAGTGAGAGGATACGCTGGTAAGATCTTGCAAAAATAAATGTAGAAGAACCCAGAAAATGAAATCTTTGGAGTGACTCCCACAATGACAATTTAACCACACTCTGTCTTGATTTCTAATGCTGAGAGAGAAGGCAGGCCATTTGAAGAAAACTTATCAAAACCTGCCAGTACTTCGTGAAAAAAAGAAAAAAGAAAAAAGAAAAAACGAAGAGACTTTAACTTTACGTACGGAATTGTCGAGATTTGAGGGGCGATTAAAAAGAGGTCTTACGAAAACGCGAGCAAGGTTCGAATTAGAAACGATTATTACTGCATCGCTAGGTTTTCTCGTAAGTGTTGTGGCAGAATCAATACAGCTTTGCTGTGCAAAAAAACACAGAAAATAAACAACACGCTCCGTGCTCGCCACTGTAGTGATTAGCAGGAAAAGAAACAGTTTCCGATGCGTTCAAGACCCACAAAAGTCTGCTCGAGGGTCTACCCTCAGCAAAATCCTTCACAAAGCCCGAGCTCAACTGATAGGAAGACGAAACTGAAACAGTAGACCCCATAAAATAGAGCAGGTGCTACAATGAAGAAAAAGACACACAAAAAATTCTAACAAGAGTAAGAGAGACGAACAGGCATGCGCAACGGTCAACTCCTGCCTTAAGTCCAACTGATTCACAGATCTAAAGCAAGGAATTGGATCTTTACCGAAGTGAGAACTCCGCATCACTCAAGGGTGCCCAAACTACAACGCCTGAAGCTCAACACCTCCTGACGATCGAAATCGACATCAGCAACCCCGATAAAGTACGAGCTCAAGGCGATTCCTCGAGGTCTTGTATGAGAAAGCATCGCTGCACGCAATCGGAAGCAGCCCGAGGGAGTGCAGAAGTGCGACGCATTCACTATCGTTGGTCGCCGCCTCTCATCGGCAGAAGACCAGAGGACGCAGATCGGAGGAAGGAATACCGGAACTAAATAACGTTGTCCGACCCCATGAGCTTGGAACCAATGAGAAACTGGATGGAGAGAATCGCGGTGATCCCTCACTGCTCCTCGAACGATGGTCGATTCCGTCCCAACGCCCCCAGATGCAAAACAAATGATGCTTTATACGGCATTTTACTCCGTCGTGAATATCGATAAATCACTCTTATTCTCATCCTCACAGTTTGCGTGTAGACCAGAATACAAGTTTTGTAGTTATTAGATGTTGCATTTCGATTGAGTACCCAGACCTAATCAATCGTGCACTTGCAATAGCTCATTTTGAAGTGTGGGTCTCGGGCATCACAGTGATCTGCAATGTAGTGACGATAGAAACTTTCTCCCTTATTCTATTTCTTATCAATGCGCACAGATTCGGCGGCAGGAAAATGAATGAAATTATTATTGTGCAATGAACATGATTATACTCGCAAGTTATCAGACTAACTGATGCTCATTACGGTGCTTCTGGCCTCTCAAGATATTCTGACATGGCTCGCGATTGGCTTATGTGTAATGATCCTGGAGTTGCAAATTGCACCCACCTTTTACACAGGAATAAACTCAACGATCTCATACTAGGGCTTTCTTGTGAGATTCCAAACCCGATTTGGCCCAGCCCGCACAAAACGTACACGATTTCACTTGCTCAAACAGTGGACTGCATCCACAAGTTCCTTGTTGGTGAGAGATTGTGACCTGTTAAACTAAATCTGCTCCGAAAAGTCAAAACGACAAGTCCTGAGGAAATAAAACTTCACAAATGAAACTTCACATCAAGCACATTCACTCTGTAAGAAAGCGGTGAAATCTGTACGCATCGAAGCGGAAATGTTGCAGGCAGGGAGTAAAGAATTAAAAAACAAAAAAACAACAACAACCAACAAAAAAAAAAACACGTGCGCAGCCTCCACATAAGTTTGTGCAGATCCCTCAGTGTGGTTGTCGATGGATTCCACCTGGATTGAGCATGTTTTTTAAGTGCAGAAATGGCCACCATTTGTGTGACATTATCCCCTTCAGTTGTATGCATGTGACAGGCTCAAAAGGGAAGGACAGTGGAAGAATTTCAACAGCAAAGCCTTACATTTAAGGAAAATTAAAAGGGGCCCAGCTTTTGAGGAGGAGGAGGGATTCTGGACACACTGGCTGCCTTGACACTGCTGCAGATGGATAATCACATAATGCATGATGCCATCCCATGTTCACACTCTGAATGGCATCCTCCACAAAAAAATTACTTTTATTTATTTATTTATTTATTTTTTGCTTGGGACCCACTTCTATGTACGAGTGGATTCCACAATTCAACACCTAATGTTTGGTCTTGAATGATGTCAAATTAGCATTACAATACAATGGCAAGTTGCATCCAAGATTGTATGATAGCATTATTATAAAAAGATTGGTGGTTGTAATTCTTGTTGCAAAATGTCAACTATACATGATGGACCTTGAAAAAAGTGCCAATTGCTTGAATGTGGTGGCATTCACAACATAAATATTGTTTGTTCTTTAGCATTGTATGAGCAACAAAGTTCCAAGTTTATTTATTCACAAATTTTTGGTTGTGTTTTTTTGATTTTGGATAGTTTTCTTGTTGATTTGAATAATTTGGTTTTATTGTTCATACAAGTTTTGTTTGATTTGGTTCTATGTGTATTCTAAAGAGATGACTAGTCAAGAAGCATGTGATTGTTTTGACTTTCCAACTACCCTTTAAAATACTAATCAATTGACTCAATTGCATTTTGTTGTCAATAGACAAAAGAGGTATTGTATCACATTCATGTCATATTTAAATGACTTAGGAGCCCACATTGAAAAGTTGTGCTTCTTAGCTTGGTAAACATAAGTTTTTCTAAAGATCAATTGGTTGTCTCAATTCTATTACACATACCAAAGATAACACATGAAAGTCTCTACTATGATCTAGTATTTTTTAAAAAAAATTCTTTAGTTGATTCTATTATTAGTATAAATAACTATTATTCTTTATTCATACTTCATACAATTAAAATTATATATTATTCCATTCAATAAAATAAAAATGAATGGTTCTTATTAAAAAAAACTTTGCTATCTTCACTCTTTCTTTTTATTATATAACATAATATATTAGATTAATAATATAAATCAGGAAGTTCAAATTCTGTTAATGTTAATAACCTATTGACACAATTTTTTTAGTATGTAAATAGACATTTCTTTTAAATATACCATTGGTTTGAATGAAAAATATAAAAACAAAGATTTAGTATAATTTTCACTAATGATATATGGTACTTTAAACTAAAACATGGCCTCTTTACGATTAACAAGATCATCTAGATAATTCCTTGTGATACTTGTGTTTGCACTATGTATATTTTTAATTTACATATAACAAAAAAATACTAAGAAATTCAAAAAAAAGAAAAAAAGAACCTCAAATAACAATCTTCTAAACATAAAAGTATAGATTATTGGTTAATATTAATATATAATGATTTTTTTAAAGAAAAAACTAAAAAGTTCTTATGGAAAAATCATTGGGTATATATTTGATGTCAGATTAAAATAATACATTATTTTTTTTCTGTATTTTTTAAAATATTCTAAATAAATTCTATGTCTCTAAAAACAAATTTTCACTTAAATCCTAATTTTTCCTACTACCACAACTAACTTAAAGAATAATTAATTATGTGGACACAAAGATAACATAATTATATTATATCAAGCAATAGATTTGATTAAAAATCATAATAAAAATAAGTTTGTATATATCTATTTATTTGAGAGGTATTTGAATTTATATTGATGATACTAATTTCAAACTAGAAAGATTTATCAAATTATACTTTTTTTTGTTAAATTTAAACCAAAAACTTGCTAAATTACTAAAATTTAAATTTAAATCCGTAAGAAAGTTGTATATTAGATAAAAATTTAGAAGAATTCTTTTGTATTATTATTCAAACAATAAATCATAATCTTAAAAAGATTGAATGAATTTCTATTTGAACTTTAATTTGTTTTTAGAAAACATGCTATAATGTATGTAATGACCAAAAATCTTTAATTCTTGCAACAGTTATATAAAAAACAATGTGTACTGACTTCTGTTTTGCAATTTTGAGATTTAGGAATGATGTTAAATATAAAAATGTTATATTCCCTAGAAAAATTATTTCACAATATTAAAACTTGATGTAAGTAAATTAGAGTTTGACTAGTTTGACCTTCAAACAATGAGTATTTTCTCATTTTTTAAAATTTCAGCACTAATTAAATTCTAAAACATTTAATTTTAGAAAATAAAATGTACATTAAGCATCACACAGTATGTTTAATATAAAAATTAAAATATCACATGTAGAAGTTATAGATAAATTATTTTTACATTCAAAAGTCATTATTCATAAAATAAATAAATAAATAAATGACTAAAAAGAATCATTAATGATCATATAATTATTTGATATGTAATAGGTTTTAATGAAATTTTTATTCTATTCATTAAAATTTCTTTTACTTATAAAAATATAATCTTTATTTCAATAAACTAATTGTATTTTTTTTGAAATAAATTAAATTCAAGATATATTTAAAGTAATATTATTGAAAAAATAAAATTTTATGCACACCTATGCATTTTTGCAAAAAATTATTGAAGTTGAGGTGAAGACTCTTGAAGAAAACATACTCTTCTCTAAATAAATGGTGTGATAAAATGCATTATTTATTGAGATTTTATAAGAGATTTTTGATAATTAATGGTATTCTTAGAGATGGATAATATTTTTGATAGCATCTTAAATATTTAAACTTTTAGTAGTTATAAAAACCTTAAAAAACTCATAAATAATTCTTTATTTTATTATTTATACTAAGAAAAAGACATTATTAATAATTTAAAGCACTCATCAACAATTTTTAAATAATAATATTCAAATAGCTTTAGCAAATACCATTTCATAAATTTCAGATTATTTTAATTTAATATTGAATTTGGAACCTGATTATATCTCGTAAATTTTATTTTGAAATCGTAACATACGTTTACATTATCTATATTAGTTAAACAAATAGAAATAATTAGAAGCAGATAGTTGTAATATGCATTAATAATAACTTTTCTGTGAAATGCATCAAAAATAAATTTAGGTCAAAGTTAGATTTACAAGTATTTTAGATGTACTATCTGGCTATAAAAACTTCATATAGATTTTTTCCAAATTTAAATAAAAATTATAGAAGTATCTTACAAATTGGTTCCTTCTTTTAAAAGCTTCATTTTGTTTAGAAAATTTCTATATAATTCTCTAATTAGCTAAAATTTTTAGATGCAAAATGAATGCAATTTTTGGACTTGTTAATATCTATCTTGGACTATAATCTTCTGTACATACTCATTATTTGTATTTTAATTTAATTTTTTTTACATATGTATTTTACTTTTATATTTTTTCTGGTATAATCTAGATTTTTATTTCATATCCATTAATCATCTTCTCTAAATATTTTTGCATATGTGTTTTTAAGACTTTAGGTCAATTTACAATATTTATACATATAAATTCAGCTAAAAAATTAAAAAGATTAATATATTAATCACCATGCGAAGAAATATATATATATATATATATATATATATAAACTGTAGACAAATTTCACAAAAGAATATCAACATAGAAGCATTGCATTTAATCATGTAGAATAGAAGAAGTAGAAAATTTTATCTATTTATTTATTTATTTATATACATATAAAGAAATCCCTGTCTCCTTATATGTACCAAATTTAGAAATAAAATAGATCAACCATAAAAAAATTTAAGAATATGAAATTATGCTATTTTATTAATTCACAATATAATATTATTAAAACTCTCTCTTGCTATATATATATATATATAATTTTTACTACACACAACAGTAATGTGTATTAAAATTATATTATTGGTAGACATTTTTTTTAATATATTTATGAACAGCTAATTTTAACTTTTAACGTTTTATTGACCCTTGAAATGACAAAGTTCAAAATTCCAAAACTACTTTTAATTCATTATTTATTTTTCTTTTTTATTTTTAATATTTTTTTTCTCTATTCCTTTCATCTTGTGATTTTCTATTAATCGATGAACTAAAACTCTCGTGTATTATATAATTTTTTAAAATAATTTTGTGATGATTATACCTCTTTGGTCAATAGACAAATCAGTCATTTTAGTTAACATTAATTTTAACTTTAATTTTAGATTGGCTGTTTTCAGTGTATGTTGTTAGAAATACATGTTAAAAGAACTGATGTTTCTCCAAAAATCCATGTTTCGGAGGCAAAATTAGAAGCAGCACCACTTTTTTAGCACTGAGATTGCTAGAATGTGCAGGAAATCTAGATTCCGTGTATGCTTGAAAACACCATTTAGCATGTTTTTTTGATGTTATGTCACATACAATTTCCACATGCCCAATTGAGATTCCAGCAAAACAAGTGAAAGTCATTACAGCCACTAATGAAAGCTCAACTTCTAACAACTCGACCAAATTGAAAAACAGGATTTGCTTCCTAAGACTCCAAATTTCTAAATCAAGCTTTATGATCTTGTTGGAAAGACGAGAAGGAAACAGGTTTCAATGCAAATTACTGTCTCAAGATACTTTTTGGACATTAACCCAGGTTTTAAGTACACTAAATCAGACAGAAACATGCCCTGTTAGAAGCAAAATATGGAAAGAAAATTTGAGGAACGAAACTTCTTTGAGTCGAAATTGATGCAGTTTCCGCAATTTTATGCGATGGCAACACAGCCAACGACAAGTTGATCTTATCGACGTTGTATACTCTAGAAGACTCTGCAAAGATCGTGATCCTACTCTCCATGGGCTTCAAAAATATGTACAAAAATTGTGCTTCTGAAGCATCCTACACTATAATACTCATTGTTGGATGATACGCCGTTTATGCTACTAAAAGCAGCTTCCTGCCTCTTCAAGGTTCATCTGGGTGGCTTGTTATGTGGGCACAAGGCGGCCGTCTCGTGACCCATTGAATGACTTGGCCACGATCACAGCCAGCGGAAGAGCGATGGCTACACACAGTGTTCCTCTCAAAGCTGTCTCTGTACACGAGCGTAATTTTTTCCAACCATGGGCTATCACTCGGAGCCGGATCCGAAGTCCCTTGACTTCTTTCGCATGTCTTCGGGAGTATTTCTTCGAGGATGGAGTTGTGCAGTCGGACTTTATGCGGACAACGGCATCATCGCACTGTCCAGTAGCTTTGTGTTCACAAACTTGAGACTTCCCGTCTTCGTGAAGCAAGCTAGATAGTCCGTTTGGACCACCATGCATGTCCTTGATTGCTTGAATTGAGGTGCGCGGTTTAGACGATGTGGGGCTTTGCTCCGCCAAAACACTCGAAGGACTACTTTGATGATCTGCATCGTCGGTCATCGGGCAGCACGCGCGATCAGAGTTGTCGACGGGGTTACTGGTATCCAGTGATGTATCATCGCCGACAGAGAGATGAGCCTCGGAGGCAGGTAGGATCATGTGAATCTCGCGAGGACTCCAACTATCGGGAGAACCAACCTTGTGAACTTTGGGGAAAGAGTCCTGTGCTCTCTTGCGGTGGGCTTCCGTCTCCTCACCTGAGTTTTCGATTCGGAAAGACCTCTCGGATACAATCGGATTGTCACGAACGCTCCAACTTGCCTCACTTGAAGTCTCGCCTACCAATTTGTGCGCATCCACATCATTAGTCGGCAATTCGGTGGACAGTAATGGTTCGTCCTGTTCGGTTACACTTTCTCTCGGATCGGGAATAGATGAGCTCGATGGGGAGTGTACCAACTCCGTCGGTGTGACAAACGGAAGCAAATCTTTCGCCTCGTTGAGTGACTCTGTCTCCTGCAAATAGAAGTAACAAGACGTCAAAACATCTCGAACAAAACTCCAACCTCGATCGTGTGTGCTTTACAAACACTGGTCGAGGGTGAAGAAGGAACTTGCCGAAAATATTTGTTCAACATCAAAGCTAAGCATCAAGGACTTTGTTCCCTCACCTCGCTTTCCGCGTCAACAGTGTCAACACCCGCATGATCCAAAGCATTGTCACGGTGTTCCAGCAACTTCAGTTGTTCATGTGAGGCACATCCCCCCCCGTTCGAGTTTCCAGCATCATGCTCTACTTCAGACACTGTATAATTCTCAACACAGATTGGCGGGTTCGAGTTTAGAATCTCCCGTTTGTCAACTTCGGCACTCTCACTCAGAGTCTCATTACCATCCTCGTTCTTACTTCTTTCATCTGCATTGCTTGGCATTACTAGGTGCACATTCATGCTGGAAATCCTCATCATTGGCGTGCTACCATCGATGGCATTCAGGAGACATCGAATGAAAGTGTGAGGATCATATTTTTCATTCGATGTCTCACGTAAGTGCTCGGGAAGCTTGGACGTGATGATGTCGACGTCTTTCAAATCTTGCGTTTCTATTATCTTTTGGACCTCGACACTCAACATGTTCTGTTGAGAGGTGGGAAGAGAAATACTTGGGTCTGAGGTCAAAGGAACCTCCGCTTGGAAAGAATGGTCGTCATTGCCAGTGTCATCACCTTCCAAACTTGTGCAACTTACTTCACTGTTTTGAGATTGAACATTGAACTCAGCACTCACTGCACATGAAAGAGAACGTGTCAGAAATGAAACAGTTGAAGAACATTTCCGCAAAATGTACCAAGCGTGACGAGTTAAGAGTATCAGCGCAAACCTTCTACCTGCAATTAACTTGCATAAAAAAGACAGAATAAGGTGTGAGTATGATATCTAACATTTATAGTGTAGGACAGGGAAAAATCTCACATCTTCGTGACGGTGACTCGCACTCTTCCACGGCAATGATGGAACTCGAAGGAGATGTGCCAGGGGGGGTAGCAGATTGGGGAGAATAGACATTAGCCATGTCTTGAGGTGGGTAGTGAGGTGATCCAGGTCCCTTTGGCGCATCTTCGCTGTGAGCAGGGGAAGAAACTTCGACAGATTCCAAGGATGTAGAAGTAGGAGAATGGACATTGGCCATGTCTTGAGGTGAGTTGTGAGGTGATCCAGGTTCCTTTGGCGAACCTACGCTCTGAGCAGGGGAAGGAACTTCGAAAGATTCTAAGGAACTAGAAGTAGGAGAATAGGGTACATGAAGTGATTCTTGAGATGTTAAACTATCAGTTCCCGGACTAGCAGTAGCGATTTCAGGACTGAAAAGACCCACCGTATTTAGATCTGTCAGGATTTGTGGATTATCAACCGGCCTGGAAACGGGTGACGGAGACACCACCTCGCCAGGGTGAGTGGGGGCCTTGGGACCAGAACCCTGCTCGTAGAGTCTACAAACAGACCTAGAACTCCAATCACCGCGCTCTTTGGATTTGTGAATGGGACTTGCTGCCATGTCAAGTGCAGGATGATAGACATTGTTTCCAGAGGCTAACATTCTGGCTGCGTGCAACGCATCGCTGACGGCTGTTCTTACTTGTTGCATCTTATCTAGACGACAGCTATCTAACACCTGCAAAAGCATTCAGTGAATGTCCGTTAAATATGGGTGCCAGCAAACCAACATATGAACTATGTATGCAGTTGCACAGCCGAAGAGCACGGCCCAGCGCGGAGTTCTGCATCCACTGAAACGAAAAAAGATATTCTTGCGTTTCATATTTTAGACGTTGAGAGGGAAAGTACAACTACACAGGACGAACACTTTCGAAAGATTCACGTACATTTATAGCAGAGTTGAGCTCTCTTTGTAATTTGTCCTTTTCAAGAATAGTGAGCACCGACAGCAGTAGTTGAGCTGCAGCCTTGCGAAGCTGCCAGGGATTGGTTGTAACCTTCAAAATTTCCTCAGCGGCCCTCAATAGACTCCCACCATGGCTGCTGATGATGTCGGGGTTCGCTGATGCCAGTGAGCAGATGAGATGCAAGTGGGCTGCTGTTCGGGTGGGTTTCTCACCCAACGCCACAAACGTTCGATGACACACTTTGTGGACCATCTCTTCACGGACATACTTCCATTTATCAGTTTCAACAAGAGCGTGAATGCAAGAAGCGGCACAAGCAGCGACGGCGTCTAGCTTCCCTGCAAGAGCGTCAATGAGCGGTGTACAAATTTCTCGCATAATTTCCTCTGCATCTTCCTGAGATGTGTTTGAATCGATACCGCATAGGGCAAGAGATGCCGTGACTTTCGCACAAGCCTCTTGTAACACATGACAGCTTCCGATTGCAGATGAAGATCGCACTATAAACCCCATTATTCTTGGGATGTGGGTTACAATAAGCTTGCCATGCACTCTTCCAATTTCCTCAAACACATAAATGACATAAGATCGCGTTGCTGCTGGTTCATGAGACTCAGAAATCTGAGCAAACGATAAAGATTATCAGGATGGTGTAGGGTATACTATCCTACTTCCCATGGACGTGACACGACTCCGCATTATCGTCGAGTTCGACTCCGTCATGATTAGGTGACAAAGTCAAGAAATTCACAAACTGTTCGAGTGTGGACCTGAGAATTAAATAAATTACCTGAAAAATGAACCGGGGCAAGGTGTGAGCGTCCAGCTGCTTAACCATCAGCTTCAACGACTTCACCGCAAGACGGCGGGTGTCAGCATTCGCGTCGAGCAAGTTTAAGTCCTGCTTCACCAGCGGGCTCAAGTGTCGGTATCTATCGTCTTCCTTCATCTTCTTCACCTCTCTTCTGGTAAATATGTCTTCTTAAATGTGGGTTCCAACGAGTTTCTCAGTGATATTCACTAAATGCAGCACTTAAGCAATATAAGGGACTCTTTCAAGGCCAAACTCCAAACATCTACAATTTTTACGATCCACGCTTAGAGAATTTCGGGTTTCCAAAGTTCCCTTTCTGCTTCTGTGTAACCGCTCCAACGTCTTTGAAAACCCCAAGATCTTTATGGCTACGGAGAAAAAGGCTCTGGAGAATAAAGTGATTATCTCAAACACTTGGTCACCACTCTTACAAGATTTGACCTCAGCCTGCTACACCCTAAACCTGGTCGAAGTGCTGGCTGCTGTAAGGTCCAACTCCAGACCTCTCAGTTCTGAGAGGAAACTCTAAAATGAGCGTTTCTCTACGAAATTCATTTCCAGATTTCACCAACCTTAACAAATATTAAAATCCCCTCTTCAGTCAGAGTCGCCAATTCCACAGAGAGATGTGTAGAATCACACAATGTCCAGGGAGGCAGAGGGAGGAGATATCAGCCACGGGTATTGCAACAGTAGCGAAAATCTAGTAGGAAACTTCCGTGTTTTCACACTCCAAGTTCCAGCAAACTATTATACACTAATTCTGGCATCCACTGAAATCTGGAAAATGCTCTAAGCTACGAGGACTGGAAGCAAAATGCAGAGAAATGACTCAGACTGGATTGCTTCGTCGATAATACGGTATCCTGCGAGAACTACTGGATCGAGGATAATGTCAACCCGATCTCAATTACGACAAAACAGCAAAGACGAAAGACAACAAATCGTCCGATCACTCCTGAACTTTATCCCCTCAGGCGCAGCAGCACAGAACACCCAAGTGCACAGATACTGCGAAATACTTCCGCAAGCTGGGCACGTGAAGAAATACTCAGCCCCAAAACCACTCGATCAACGAGAATACCCGCAGCCCCGTTCCACAGAATCTGCTTCTTCTTCTTCAACCAACGACAGGTAACAGGAATTAGAGCCTTGACGAGGGGGAAATGTCCACTCAGCTGCTCGGAATTCGTGCAACTTGTTGAAGGCGAGACCAGTTCTGCGCACACTCGGAGGCAGGCTCACGCGGGTAGAGTGATGGATCCGTGAGTTGAGATTGTTCTATTCATGCCCCTCGATTCCAGTGCAACGCTGCTCTTGCTGCTAGATTTCATCGGTGGTGGTGGCGATCCAGCGTCCTTGATCTGCGACGAACACCGATTCATGGGGAAACCATGCGCCGCTCCGTATTTTGTACCGCATACGATGTCACGAATACCTTTGTACGTACTTTACTATTTATGTCTGTCTATTTAATTTTGTGTGTGTGTGTGTGTGTGAATGAGTTGGGTGTTGGACTGTATAAAACATAACCCATTTGTGGACATTGGATGAGGAAGATGTGATCTAGTTTGCTTCCACAGAAAACTAATCAGGGCCAATAAGACGACAGCTATTGAATGAGTGTTGATTAATATATCTTTGGTGGAAATAGATGAGGATTCATTGAAGTTTTTTTTTTTTTTTTTTTTTTTTTTTTTCTTTTCTTTTCTTTTCTTTTCTTTTCTTCCCTCATTAGATTACTAATTTTGATGCCAAGACAAGATTGGAGGGAACCTTGTGTGTCTCTATTAATATTCTCCATTGGTTATGTGCTATCTTGTTTCTTAAACCTTAAATAAATTGTATCCTCCATTGGATTTCATAGTGGTATTGTGTCATAGGTTCCTATTTCTCTAAGAAATTTCCACCTATTACTTCTCATTGTTTTACACTAATTATTAATTTTTTTTATTAATAAACCAAATCAAACATCTAATTTATTTATAGTTTATAAAAAATACATTAAAAAATATATTATTATTACATTAGTATTTTCACAAAACAATTTTCAAATAAATATTTGAATAACTTATTACTTTTCATATTAGAGATTAATTGTTACATCTTTAAAATGATGAAATTATATATACAAAGAGAGTTTTTTTGGTATTATAAAAAAACAAATCTATTATTCTTAAATCAATGCATGTATTGACTTTTCGAATATTGACTTTTTAAATATATATTTTTTTATATTGACAATATTAATATTGATCATCTTCATTTCTAATCCATATGTATTGTTTTTCTTAATATATAAAATACAATGCATCTAACAATACAATATGTCTAACGTACCATTGCAATCTTGTTTTATTTATAAACATATTCCATATGCAGCTCAAAATATGGTACACAAGAATCTTATTCAAGCACGAACAGTTGACTCGAATTTGATCCATTTATTTTGCAAAATGGACTCTTAGGATCCCATCCAAGACTGTAACCAGCGCTGCAGAAAAGTTTCTCTAGCATTTTCGAACCTACAACTCTCTATTTACTCTAAAAACTCTGACATGGATCACACTATCTATGGAAAAAATTGAAGAATATGCATAGAATATGGTGGAGATATGAAGGCAGTAAAACGCCGCCTACCATGTGGGGCACTCGTTAGGGCTTGTGTTGAGAGCGTTGTAGGATATTGCATTTCGACATGTGGTAATCTGTGCAGGGGAGCTTCTCGTGTGCTGCAATTGTTGGGTGTAGGGACAGCCACGGAGAGAATGTGTGAGAATTTTAAGGGAGTTGGCTGGTAAAAAGTGCCACTGAGGGTGGGGATAGAAAGATGGCAAGAAAACGAGAGGTCTCGATGGTCTTTCTTACTGTTCACTGTGCACATGTTGCTTCGTGACCCGACATGTCTCCCCATGCTCTTATTAGAATTTATAGTGGATATTCTACACATTCCAGTGAACTTTTGGGAGTAGCTTTACAGTGGGTTGGTGTGGATGGCTGAGGCTATGATTTCTGTTGAGGGAGGGTGAAGGATACAGTGGATACTGAGGATACAGTGATTATTTTATAGTTTTCCAGATGCGTGTGGTGTGATATGTTTCCAGTTTTACAACCGAGCTTCTTTTTATTTTTGGAATTATTTTGCTTCATTTTCTTTCTTTCTGTTTAGTGCCTTCAAACTTCTTTTACTTTTTACACAAAAATGGGTTATATCCGAGGCATTGAGGGAGTGGATTGTGATGCAAGGATTGACAACCTCGCTCCTAATACTAATTAGGTGGAGTAAGTGTCCTAAGTGAAGAATCTACTAACTAAGACTAACGCTTTCGTGTCGAAGCAGACCACTTCGTGGAGCATACAAACTTGGATGTAAATGTATTGAAGAAAATGAGAGCAGAAAGTATCTGGAAATTCAGTCACGAATTGTTGATTATTTTTGGCATTTTCTAGTTTTAGTGACAGCGTTGTTGCCTTGTTCGGTGTAACAGGTGATTGACATTCTCTGCAGCTGGTCCTTTCAGCATTTCCATTGTTACCATTATTATTAACAGGGAGTTTTTTTTTAATTCGTCTTTTCTTTTGTCTCCATTGCGGTGGTTTCTCACAGGTTTTTATTGAGACGAGAATCAAGGAAGCAAGTGACAGCAACATGAGAGAAATGTGAGCTTTGAATAAATCGACACGTGAGGGGATCCGGCGCCAATAATGTCACGCCCGGAAGCTTATCAAAATGTTGTTCGGAGAAGAGAATCTATGAATAGACGTTGCAACTCCTGGTTACTTAAAATACGGAGATACTGTCCAAACCAACAGTCTGCACCACAAAGCATCTGCTTACAGCCATAAGCAAGGACAGAAGAAGTGTTTCTACATCGCTATCTACTGGTTGTCCGCCTTGAGCACTGGCTGAGTTCAGCTTGTATGACAAGTTGGTGTACCCTGTGAAGGATGGCTAATTTACTTTACACAGACAATTTTTGCCTTGAGTCCTTTGAAAGCATTCGCTGAACGACTATCCAATCAAGCGCCTGCCGTCACGCCAATCACAACTGTATTCTTCACGAGGGTTTTTATGGGACAGTGAAATCGGTTCAATAATAATGGCTAATGACATTCTAATTTTGCAGACTACCCCATTTCAAGAAGAGTTTAACTTGTTCCCGTTCTTAGTATTACAGAACATTCTTACTTTCTTGAGAGGTTTTGAGGAGCCTTCGGTTTACAGCCCCTTAGCCATCGTGCTCGGCCATCAAGACAGTTGCGTGTTCCTCTTTACCGTTTTTCTCGTGGAGAATTGTTAGAGAACCATTCAAGTCAGTAAACGCTCGTGGAGCATCACTGACTTATTCAACAAACACGAAAATTCTATGGGATTTGTACAGGGAAACTCACCTAATTGACCAAGTTGAAGACACAGGGGTAAACTCCTGCTGGCCCCCCTCCTTCCCTTCCTCCCTGACTTGTGCAGTTCCCTCACTGGATGAATATATCCATATCATGCCACTCTCAAAATAATGCTTTCATTCTTCTCAGAATTCAGCTTTTTGTTGGTTTGGACCTTGCAAGGGTGTCTAAGAAAATGGTGATATTTTTGGCACTGGAAATGCACGAGAATGTAATGGACCATGAATGCTTCTTGCCTTTCATAAATGCTGAAGACTTTGCGCTGAGCCTGGAATGTTGAAAACAGTCCAGGAAGCGTTAGCAATTAGTGCATCAGGGTACACCATCACCAACGTAAACGTGTCATCAGCGATGCCGGAGCCATTTCCCCACGCCTGCACGTGAGGCTCTCTGTGCGTCTATCTCATTTTCAATTCTACCTGGTTGAACAAAGCCACCATACAGACTCGCATTTCTAATAAATCTCCACACATCTGTTGCCAAATCTTTCCTATCAGCTGCTATGTCTTCATGCTCGCCTTTCTTTGCGAGCTCCGACCTCTCCCTGATCATCTGGTCATGTTCGTCGCTTCCGCGACCTCCAGCACTCGCCAGATTTTCCATAATCAGAAACAGACAGAATTTTTTAATAACCTAACATTCTAACCACCTATTTATTCCTCGTTTTCTAGCGTCCTGCTTAAACATTAGAGGATGTGGGTTGAAAGGAAGCCTATTCTGCGTAACAATCGGCCTCATCCACATTTCATGAATAACCAGAGAAATGGTCGGTGTGTGAAACATATGTGCTCACAAGTTATCGTTTCAACCCTCTGCAAACGAGTCCTAAAATGAATTGAATCCTTACAACTATTTGGTGGCGGGCGTTCCGGCAGCCTTGAATTGTCTCTGCATATGTTGGGCTAATATAAGACATTTGACAAAGAAGTGGCTGCACTTGCTTAGATAACATATGCCATACCACGCAAACCAAGTGAAACTATATAAATACAGCTAGTAGAACTTAGAGACATGTTGTTGAATATGTCATATTGATTGTATCGAAAAATGATATGACTTATCCAGCACATAACAAAGACCCACAAAGAGCTGAGTTCCCTTGTCCTAGCACATTCTCATTTGCAACCTGAATTTGCAACCTGAATGTCTGTTGATCCATTTTTTGTAACATGGTATCAGAGCCTTGGATGAACAAGAGCTGCGGATGAAAGAAGTTGGATAGATGAGATTGATTGGATATTTTTTTTTTGATAAGATCTTATCCATGAGCTGCTGCCAGAGCCTCGTTGCCACTGGAACCACTTATTATTGCTGTTGTTTTTATTATAATTAAAATATATCTACTGCTAATATTGAAGAGGAGTTGATCTTGCTTCAATACAACTTGGTACTATTATTCCTTAATATTGCATTTTGTAGAACATTTGTTGCTATTGCATTGATTGTATTTGGCAATCGTATCATCTTCAATGTATCATTGCATTGATCAATTAGATGAGAAAAATTATGGCACATGGACATATTTTATGAAGCACTTGATGCTCATCCATAAGCTCTACATACATGTAGATAAGACATTAGAATGTCCTAGGGGTACTGATTAAAAAAAATTAAAATGGAAATCAAGTGAAGCAAAAGTACAAGCATTGATTGCACTCAATGTCAAGCCTTTACAATCAACTCATACATGCAAATGCAATATTGCAAATGAAATGTGGAACATATTGGCTAAGATCCACAAGCCCTTATGAGTTATTACTGAGATATTTTTAATGAAGAAATTGCATAATCTTCAATATGTGGATGGAAAATTTATGGAGATTTTTCTTGGAGATATTTTTGATGTTAAAGATCAATATATTGAAGCTAATGGAAAAATGAAAAAACAAAGCATAGCATTTTTTATACTTACAACATTACCAAAATCTTAGGATTTATTTCTTCAATCAATTGTATTGAAGAAAAGAGAAGAAATCACAAAAAAAGTAGTAGGGCCTATTTTCCTTGCAAAAAAAAGAGAAGCTTAGTTTTTTTTTTTTTTTTTTTTTTTTTTTTTTTTCTTTCTTTTTGGCAATGCATACAAGAAGAAAGTAAGTTTTGAAGAACCACCACCTACAACAAAAATAGAAGCATAAGATTGATAAGATTAAAAGCACTTGTAGGACTTGTAGATAGAAGAGATATTGGCAAGGTGATCTAGAGTATCATAGAATAAATAGCAATAGTGTAGTAAATGCTAGAATTATTATTCTTTTAGTTTGAGATGCATCATTTAATTCAAAAATAACAATTATATTGTTATTTCAATTATGGAATTATATTTGTATTAATAATATATATATATATATATATATATAAAGAGACAAGAGTAAGCTATGATGGTGGCATTGACAAATCACAAGACTCAAATGAGATGAATTTCACAATTTTAGAGCTTGAAGAAAAATACATTTTTGTAATTGTGAAAGATATCCACCTGGTTCCTTGAGCACATGATACTCTTTTATCAACTGCTATCTTATGCAAGAAAAGTTACAAATTCAATTTAGACTCCAATAGAATCGATTAGATTCTATTTTCAAGTAGCTTACTTGTATAAGGCATGCTATCCAATAAAGCTTATCTTATGCCTCATAAAATTGAAGAAGCTGTTAGAATTTTTAGATTATCTATTTTGGATTGTATACTTATTGAAAGACATCAAATATTAGTACATGCTTTAATGCATATAATACAAGAAGCAAAGTGGATGAATAGTCTTAAAAGATTAAAGATCAAAGATGAGAAGGACAAAATACCTATAAATGAATTATGAATTATTGGTAAGGTCCATAGGCACCTTTTTTTATACAAGGTTTAAGCATGCCAATGATATTTTAGATGTAATAGTATTTGACATTAGTTATTTCAATGGTTACTTGTGTAGAATGATGAATATTCTAATTATTGTAGCCTTGTATTTCTTCAAATTATGAATCAAGTACATGTTACTTACAAGATTTGAAAAAAAAAAAAGAGACAAAAAAGAAATCAAAGAAAGATAAAAACTTTTCTCATAGATTGAGGTACTAAATTCTTGAATGGTAAGATTGGTTCTCATTTCAAGATTGAAGACATTTGATATATAATCACGCTTCTATACACAAATGAAATTGTTAACATAGTAAAGCATATAATGTATACTATTTTTGAAGGAATACAAATAATTTTAGACAATGCCAAGTTGGATCATTAATAATATGAAAAGTTTGTAACCTAAACATGCAATCACCTTCTATTTACAAGACTTGATGGTAAGATTTTACATAAATTTTTTTATAGTAAAAAAATCTTTTCATCAAAATGCTCATTATTTTAGTTATCTTGCTTGATATCACATATCAAAGAAAAAACATCAAAAGCTTGATACAAAGGCAAAGAAGGGTATTTTTATTGGCTATTTAGAAGTGATAAAAAGATATGAGATTTTTCTACCTAAGGAAAAAAATATGATATGTAGTTGAGATGTGATTTTTCTTAATAATAAGGATGAGTTGCATAGTGAGCCATCAACTTTTCAAGAAAAAAGTGGAAAAGATATGGATCATAGAAATAATCTTGATTTTTTAGATTTTTAACATCCAAGTAAATTAAAAATATCCCAAACTCAAGTCTTAAGATTACATGTACATCATAGATTGGGTAGAAAAATCATTAAAGATGAAGAAAATTCTATATCAATAGAAGTAGTAGAATTCCATCAACCAGAAGTAGAGGGTATCACTCAAGCTCTACCATCAAGATATTATTGTGTAGGTGGAATCAACTTGAGAAATATTATAAGTAGTAGTAGGATGTGTTGCATGCTTTGGAAAAATGATAATAATTTTATTTGAAGAGATTATAACTTACAAATTGAAATAATAGATGTGATTCATGTTGATGAATATGTAAAATTAGAAATTGTTTAGCAAGCCATGAATTCACTTATTTGCAAAGAATGGAGTCATGCTATGAAGAGAGAACTTGATTCTTTGAAAGATCATGGTTCATGGAAATTTTTATTTTTATCTAATAGTATGAAGGTTGTAGATTTAAAATGAATCTTTAAGTAAAAGCTTACTAGCAATGACTTTATTAATTATTTTAAAGCACAAGTAATTGCAAAAGATTTTATTTAGATAAAAGGTCTTGATTACCAAGAGACTTTTGTACTAATTGCTTTTCTTATAATAATTTGTATATTTGTTGCAATTGTTACTATTCTTAATTGAAATATGTTATAACTTGACATTGTTTTAGCTTATCTAAACAGTAAATTAATATATATATATATATATATATATATATATATATTTATATATATATTTTATAGATTCTATAAAGATTAGAAGTTCCATTGGAATACAAAGGTAAGACATTGCAATTGCTAAAAAATTTAAATAATTTGAAATAATCTAAATATAGATAGAATATGAATTTGGATAATTTTTTATTAAATCTTAGTTGAGAGCACTCAGAATCAGATCCTTATTTGTACAAAATATACATTTAGAAAGTAGTCCTTGCACTAAATATCTATATTGATGATGTACTTATTAGTGGCAAGAACTTTGAGATCCTTGAAAGATGTAAGAATGAATTATAAGAATTCTATAAGATAAAAGATTTAAATAAAAATGGTTTTTTTTTTGTATTGATTTTTTACAAGACAAAAAAAATAATATTTCCATTAGTTTAAATTAAATCAAGTATATTTATCAAAAGTTAGAAGAATTTGGGATGAAAGATATAAAGGCAATTGCCACATCAATGAGACGAGATTATTTTACTAAGCATAAGAATGATAATCTTTTGATGGGGAAGATTTAAAGCTTTATCAAAAAGCTATAGGTTTATTAATATACCTTACAAATGGTACAAGGTATAATGTTGCATTTTCTTGTCAATACTTTGCTCAATATATGATACACCCATATATAATACATTGGTAAGGAACCAATAAATGTTTTGTTACTTGCAAGAAACAAAAGATTTGATATTATAATATAGAAGAAAGGAAGCAAATTTGCAACTTGTGGACTACAATGATGCAAATGGAGCAAGTTGTGTGGAGATGCATCATTTATTATGAGGTTATGTATTTATATTGGACAGTGCAATTATCACTTGATCAAATAAGAAGCAATCCTTAGTTTAAATTTTATTAATAGAGGTAGAGTATGCAGCTTTGGCTGCACAACAAATGAAACCTTATGGCTTTATAAAGTACATAGGGATTATAATGTTCTTGAGCCAAAAAAAATCATCATTTATAAAGATAACCAAAATGCCATTGCTATTGCCAAGAATCCAATACACCATAGTCATACAAAGCATTGGAATACATAACATCATTTTATTAGGCAATGTGTGGAAAAATGACAAATTGGTTTGGAGTATTATTCCATGGAGAAGATGGCATTAGACATCTTCACAAAATATCTTTTTAGAGATAAGTTTCTACCTTTTAGAGATATGTTAAGTCTTGTTTCAATAAAAAAACTAAGCCCTACTTCTAGAGGAGGAGTGTTGAGTATGCCATATTGATTGCACCAAAAGGTGTGACTTATCCAACTCATAACAAAGACCCTTAGAGTGCTACTTTCCCGCACATTCTCATTTGCAACCTGAATGTCTGTTGATCCATTTTTTGTAACACATATGATGTGTCGTGTCAATCTAAGTGGCTCAACGATGATTAGACTTTGTATCCATCTCCAGCTGCTGAATAGGCACCCAAAGCAATCTTCTTAGAAAAACTAGCTCAGAAGGATGCAAATCAAATTGTGATCATGTCTTCATTGCTGCAATATTTCAACATGAGTTACTGTGCCCCTAAACCTACTTGGACACAGATCGAAATTAAGGATTTTACAGCAAGGTGAGTCAATATTCACATTTACAGCACTAGTTCCGTACATTAAGTTGTCAGAATTCTTAAAATGACCTATCTTGAACGCAGACCACAACCCCATTTGCGGACCGTTTTCACATGATACATAATGCATGACAAGCTGCAGCTGGAATTGGTCTATGGACACTAGGTTCTTGCAAACCAAAGCACAACTTCTCAGGGGAATGTTCCTCCCTGCCGGCGTTACGTGCGCGCAGCAGTCAAATAATTGGACGCACGACTGCCATA